TGCTATTCACTATCATCACAACCCTCATTGTTCCATCTCTGCCCTCCCCCCATATACAGGCCTTATGAATCCTAGCCTTCCCCCATTTAATCCTATTCCTATAGCACAAAGGGAAACATTACAATTTGGAAATTCAAATCGAAATAAATGGAATAGAATTTATTCCCATATATATTCCCCATTTCATTGTACAGAATTATTTTAAATTATAGTTTTAAATAGAAGCTGAGTATATGCCTTAAAAATGAGCATTAAATCCATCTTAGAGATGGTGCCTGCTTTTTACATGATGGGTGTACACCATCTTTAATTTCATTTACATTTCAATCGAACAATAGATTTGCAAAGAAAATGTCTAATACAGACGTAAAAATATTCACACTAGAGCTTCACAATCGGTTGTACAATTGACAAACAGGCCTCTTTTCCCAAACTTTCCAGCTAAGCAGATTTATAAAATGTAATCAATGCAACAAGAAAAACATTTCTCTTTCACTTCCAGGGAAAAGAATATGCAATAAACAGTATAAATGCAGACAGCAGTTGCTGCAAGCTAACCACGATACTCCCAAGTGGCTGTACAGTGGATATGTGCAGTACAAATAAAAGCCACATGTGTTGTATCACAACTACAGTATAATTGTTTGCCCAGCTAAGAGAATGCATGCACTTCCATGCCTTGGGTTATAAAGTGAGGCCTAATTCTTGACAGATTGATGGAATATATGCAAATGACCTTGGCTTGTGGCAGTACTAAGTGCAGCCAGTGTCTGTGTTCCACTGGTTTAAGGATATTTAAATTTTTTTATTTAAAAAAAGAAAAAAACTGCCAATTTCAGACTTGGGGGAATAACTGCTCTTGGAGTATAAACAGGACTCCACTCAAATGTGGGGTGTTCTGATTCGTGGCCTTGACTCCTTGTATTCCCTTGCCAGCAAAGGGGTACAAAGAAACCACTACTATAAAGGAGTAACTAGCAAATTTATTCAATTTACCCAGAAAATGAGATACTCCTTGAGCATGTTCATTTGTGTTCTGCTTGCAGAAGGGGTTCTTATGTAGAAGGAGTTACAGTAAGTGATCCCATTAACACTCTTCATTCACTAAAACACAGGGAAAGTTCTTCCAGGAAATTAATACATAGTTGCAATGCAACTTTCCCCTTGAATGATTAGTCACCAATACTGGTGACAGTCTGCTCAGAAAATGACTCTAGAAGCTAGGGAAGAAATATTCAAAGTTGAAATCACATGCTGAATCTGATCATTACAAACGCCACCCCTGTTAACAAGACAACATGGGCTTTAACATCTAAAATGCAAAAGCAAGCTAGATGGTTTTTAAAACAATGTTTTCAAATGTTTAAATGATCCCATTTTTAATTCCTACAAATCACTGTGCATCCAGTAATTTTCTCAAGGCAGCATATAAAATTGGGATGTGCTTTATAAACTTAGAATCAACTTGAAACTTGGGTGAAAGTGACCAGATCCATACAAATGGAATATTTCAGTTCTAGTATAGGTTTCTTTTACTATCCTCTTGTGAGAGTAGACAGTTACTAGGAAAAACATCAGTGCCACTGACCCACTGAAGTACCTTCTCTTGAAAATTACGATGCACAACTTTCACGCATGACGCTGGTTTACTAGATGGTATTGAAAGTAAGTCATGGCAGGAAAGGCAAAGGAATCTGCTTTGTTCAGCTACCAACTAGATGACATACTTAAGTAACTTTCCCAGGATTCGTAAGATGAAATGAGACCACAAAGAAAGAACTACTGATGCTACATCACAGTATCTGAATGAGGCACATGGTCTTCCGAATGGGACTTAGAAATTTTTAAAAACGCAAGAAGTCAGAACAAAACAAAAACCTCACCATTTTCCCACTTTCCAGACCTTGGATTACTTCTTCCTTATTAGAACATACACCACATATGCAGTTTAGTTGACAACATTACAAACTTCCTCTCCTATTGCTTTATATCCTTTGATTTCAAACATATGTGCATCACAACATGTTGGTAAAGGGTCAAATGACAGGGAATGCCCCCTATTTTAAAAAGTCACATTCTAGGTTTGATTTGTCATTTTTTCCTCTATGATATCATTAGGTACCTTTCATAAGAAGGATCAGATAAACTGCTCTTCCTTCTCAAGTGGCAGAGACCAATGGTCTTTGTTTCACATCCAACACACCATGAGAAAGAGAAGATGATCACTACATAAAGGATGCAATACCAAAAAATCCCAACAAAGAAACAATTCCTATGTTGTTAGTGAGGAAGAGAGTAAGTTTTTAAGAACAGGGAGTTACTGTTTTATGGGATCACCTGCTGCAAGACAAGCATTATTTTAATATAAATGTTCTGAGACATACCAATAAGTTGGCAGGTATATACATACACTGATGCAAATGTAATTTCACTGGACAAGTAGGCAAACACCTAAGCAGTTTATCCCAACCCCCTCCAGCAGAGCACAACCAAGTTTCAAAACTTCAATTTTAAAATTAAAAAGATAAGGTTAAATACACAAGATCAATTTATGTAGTATATATTCACCCTCAGAACGTGCTGAAGATGTTTTGCGTAGTTCTGTTGCACAGAGGGTTCTTTCCCTGAGGGCACATAAGGAGCTCTCAAACTGTTAATAGGTCTCTATTTTGTAACAAAATAGCAATTTTAAAATCTTAAAAAAAAATACATTACCTTCAACATGGAAGATCTCACTATTTAAATATCCATGAAATAGACATACTGGTTTGCATATCCTTTTGGAAATACAAACAGCAAATAAAGTACATTGGAAGCATTTCAAATGTAATAAGCGCATATTTATAGAAAGGTTCTGATATAAATTATATAACAATCACGTTCCTGTAATATCCTAGGCTAATTTATAATGTCGGAAATAAGTTAATGTAACATGGTTTAAAACTCTTGTTCCTATTCATTTCAGGTTACAGAGTGAAATAAATAAAATGTCCTTGTAGGGATGGGGGCACTGGCCATGGCAAAAAGGTACAGTACTAACCAAGGAAACTAAGTCAAGGCTACTGTGCTGTTATGCTACAAACAAACATCTTCATACATTTGAGTATTAAATAAATGTGTAAGATCTTCCATACTGACACCAGAATATCAAAACTACCCCTTTGTTTCTCAGGTATATTTACAACTTATCAGTCACCTTATGAGCATGTTCATTAAGACAGGTATCAAACACCAGTATTTACTCATTCTGATCAAGAAATTTCAGGGAAATGTCAACCCTCCCGCCCCTGGAAATGTGCACAAAACTTTTTATCAAAATCTTATCTGATACAATGCTGTGGTTTTGTAAAACAACTAAATAGCTCAGACGACCAATAACATGATCCTGTTTAAGCATCTTGCTAGCAGGAAAAGCCCTTACATACAGTACACCTGGTGAAAGATCAGCTTGGCTTAAAATATTCCAGTACAATTTTCAGAGTAAACAACTTCACAGAAGTTAATTAAAAATAATAGTAAAAGTCAAACTAATCTTAGAGAAATGGGGGGAAAAACAAAGACACAAACTACAGGTAAGATCACCCAGAAGGAATGCCCAGCTTTTGTTTTCAAATGTTGACTGAAATTTAGGTTTCAATAAAATACCTCCCACAAATCTGGAGCCTGGCTGGTTGAACATACTGCATACTTTCAGATGCCAAGTCAAAACACTTTTCAGTCACATTTTAGCAGGGCAGAAATTATTCATGTTTTTAAGTATGAATAAAGGTTAGCCAATGTTCTATTATTACATGGTTCATAGTCTTATCAACCTAACAGTCAGAAAAACAAGGAAAATTAAACCCCAACATGAAGTAACAATAAACAATATTTAACCAAGATAATGCAATGAACATCCAAATGAATTAGCTTAAATTAAAAACCCAGCAATACCATCTTGTTAGTCAGTGCAAACACTACATACAGGGTTTTCTCAAGAAAGCTGAAAGCACCTGATTCTTTTGCCAAGTCATCAGATTCATAATGTACAGGCTTAAATCTGCATTTTAAAAAACTGCCATTACATTAGTGCATAATTTATCAAAATTGTAAAAACGATTCTGCATAACTTAGGAGAATTTAATATCTAGTACATCAGCTGAAAGACTTAGGCACTTGGTTATATATTTAATTACTTACTTCAACAAGTAGCCTGTGTATAAATATTAACAAAGCAGAAACTATTTTTGAAAAATGGAAAATTGAAAAAAAATTTAAATGCTACAGATAAAAGCACTGCACCACACTCCTACATATAATGCAGTAAAGAAAGCTAGTATATAACCCTGTAAAATTCTATGGTAAGAACATCTAACTCCACTCTTCAAAATTAAAAAAAAAAAAAAAAAAAAAAAAAAAAAACCAAACAAAAGCCCCGCGGTATCTGTGAAGTACAATAACATGAGGCCTGTGTGTGCCGTGTAGCCGGGGTCAAAAAAAAAAAAAAAAAAAAAAAAGAGAAAAAAAAATCCATGCAAAGTCCCATGAAAAAGATAAATAAAGCAGCTGGAATGAGATGGAAATTTCTCTCAGTGAAACATAAAATAGAAATAAATAAGTTAATTAAGTCTACTTTCACTAGATGTATCATTGTAGGATCCTGCTAGTTTAATAACTGAGTTGTTAATTTTCTATAGAAGCCATTTAAAATAGGAAATGGCTCAGTTACTGCACCGGATTGCTACAAACTCATAAAAAGCTGCTTGAAGCTTAAGTTAAATGTCCAAATTCCAATCACTTCTGGAAAGTGAACGTGTTACCCTAGTAAAGTAAATTTTCTTTTTTTTCATAATGCTAATGCAAGAGGGCTTGAAGTATCAAAGAGTCCACAGGAAATGGATGCCCCCAGTAATATCTTTTTTTTAAAAAAAATATACATTATATAATATATATTATATATATAAAAAGCTAGTGTAAATGCTTCCATGGTATGGTCACAGATTTGAAAGATGAACCTCTTTTCAGCTGTTAACCATCTTCCCATTTGCAACAGGTTTCAAAAAGTCGTTTTTATCTTCAGACATAACATGAGTTTTCAGAATGAGGTTGCCAACACTGACAGATGTGGCAAGAGGGAGGCAACTCGCACTGCTAATGGCCACTGGGAGTGGCTGACTAAAGCAAGAAGTTACCGGCAGAATTGTTTTTTGCTCCTCCCTGGGAGAGAATAAATGACATTGAAAACAAATTAGCTTTAAGTGAAAACTTTTAAGAGTAACCATACATGCTGAATAAAAGTAGTAACACACTTGAAGAGCCCCTAGCAAAGGCATGTCTTTTTCACTAAAAAGTATCAGAGGCCACTAAAAAAGTCCCATTTTCCAAAAATTATAATAAAAAATTAGAACACTGGTTAATTTAAGGCCAACAAACTATCAAGTTCAAGATTAGCCCATATTTTTGGCAGTAATTATGGACTAAAGGCCAAAAATATCTTAGCAAGATTTTTAAAAAGGGAAACCCTTCAGTTAGGTTTTAGTTCTCCATTTTGTAGTCTTGATGTTTGGCTATCAGTTAGAGGAAGTATAACCTGATGCTAGAGCATAAAAATAAACTTTTATCCCAACAAAAAGCAAGTTTTAGGCTACTAAAATGGACCACTTGGTTAGTTAAAATTTAGTTCTCCTCTCCTAAAAATCCAGACTGACCAAATCATTGCCTTATTACGGTAAGGTCTTCCCCTCATACGATAAAACCAAAAGTGAATTTAACAATGCATCTATTTCTTTTTCTTCATGCCCTGTGCCCACTGGTTATGAATTTTATGTCTAACACTCACAGAATCACATGGTCTTCATCTAAACTCTGTCTCTTCTGCTCCAGGGGCTCCTTTTGGTGTTGTTGGACTTGATGCCCATTTTCTACTACTGTTCCATTCAGTAACTGATCATTTTGAGAACTGATACCAAGCTGTATGTCCAGGATCTCCTACGAAAATAAAATGTTAATCCTTCAGTATGAAAGTATTCTGTACTTTAATTTCCAATGGAGTAAAGCCTCCTAGATGTGTGACTGCAGTACTTACTTCAATCTGTTCACCTTGTCCATCAGGTTCATCAGTATCAAGTGCTGAAAGCTCTAACTCTATATCCCTATCAGGCTTAGTATCAGCTGCATCTTCTGTATAATCACTCTGTAATTAAGAAAAATGGTGATTTCATATCTGTGGAAACTGGGGCTTCCCTTTTAAATTAAAATGGGAGTCCCAATGATTGATCTAAAAAAAGAAATCTGGGACTACAATTTTATTTCTACTTTTAAGTTTTAAAAGCAATCATCCACCAGAAAAAGCCAAATTTTGCACTAAGTAATGGCATAAAATAACATGCAACAGCAGCAAAGCAAATATATTGGGCATGAAGCTGAGAGGTTCAGTTTCCTTACCTCTCCATTTCTCAGTTCAATTTCCTTGCTTAGAAGATTTAAGGTAAGGTGACGGCCTTCGTCCAGGGAATTCCACTTCTGTTGCATGGCCAGAGCATTGGCCTCCCTCTGAAGAAGCAACGAGTTACTCTTGGCCTAGAGGAAAAAAAAAGTAAAGTCAGCTTCCATCCATAACTTTTAAATGTCGTTCTATTTTTTAAAAAATTCAAAGCTGAGTAACACAGAGCCTACCTGCTGAAGTTCAATGCTCAAAAGGTCTCCAGTACTGGAATGCTTTCTATGACCAGATAAATCAGTAACAATGAATCTGTCCCTTTAAAGAAAAATATGTTTACTGTTATAAAAGTGAAATAAATGAAGCAACTAAAGCAGTAATGACTATATAACAACTATATACTATATATATATATATATATTTTTTTTTTTTTTTTTAATTTATTTATTTTTGGTTGCGTTGGGCCTTCATTGCTGCACGCAGGCTTTCTCTAGTTGTGGCGAGCGGGGGCTACTCTTTGTTGCAGTGCGTGGGCTTCTCATTGTGGTGGCTTCTCTTGTTGCAGAGCATGGGCTCTAGGCAGGCGGGCTTCAGTAGTTGTGGCACACAGGCTTAGTTGCTCCACGGCATGTGGGATCTTCCCAGACCAGGGCTCAAACCCATGTCCCCTGCACTGGCAGGAAGATTCTTAACCACTGCGCCACCAGGGAAGTCCTATATATATGTTTTACATAACATATCAACCCTGAAAGTTTCAGTCATTATTCAAAATGTAAAATTTTTTCCAGAAATTTGTTATATAGCTAAAACTAGCAAAGCACAGCTCATGAATAACTGGGAGTAGGATCTGTACTCTGAGAATAGAGAATCCTAAAGAATTAAGCATAACGTTACCGTTCAATATAATGTGCTGATGACGTAGCTTCATTACCATATGAACTCCATCTTGAATCAACAGCATTGACATAAGGGACATAATCTATAGAAATGTAGAAAGAAACAACGATCAGAAAAGTGAAAAATCAGATATAGATGTGAATGTATACTTTTCCAAAAAATCCGTATTTTATCCAACTAGCCATGTTCTCCTGGCTAAGCCATTTAATTCTGAGTTTACTGTGGCTGTTAAACGGAGAGAAATGTTCTGTATCTAACAGAGTGAGGGTTAAAGAGCACAGTGCTAGAACCTATCAGGTGAAGTATTAGTTAAATGGATCACCTGATACGCTGATAGGTTTAGTCGTACTTCCTTGGGAAGCAGTGGCCTGGACAGGATCCGTGGTATGGTAACCTGTACGGGAAGATCTAGAAATTGCACCCCATTTTGAGATGATAGGTCCATCACTAAAAGGAATTATTGGATCTTCTTCTTTTGTCCTTCTCTGAGTTTCAAATAAATGCACTCTTCTCTTAACATCTCCACTGTCCAGGTCCTGCATAAATAAAAGAAAATCAATAAAAAGATTGTTGGCAATTACTTCAGCTAATAATACAAGTACATGCTTTCAAAAGACATTAAATTAAGTTTTCTGGTAAATTTAACATTAGCTGTATATCTCAATGATAACCCAACATCTACTTTAAAACACTCAACTATGCCCAAATAATTTAAACATTAAGTGCAATTTATTTCAGGCTTACCTAAATGTAACTCTGCTGCTTACAGATGAGTAACATACCAACGATATGAAGATGAAAGCATTCAATCATTCTAAAACTTGAGTCAACATGCACGACAACCCTTGCCCCCCAAATCATACCATTAACACAGCATTTGAATTAGCAATTACATCTCTGGGCTCTGAATCGATAGCATTTATACAGGAACCTATGGTGCCACAAGACCAGGGGGAATAATGGGAAAGATGATCTTCTTCAAATTTTGTGCCACTCACACTTTCAGAGAACTGATTAAAAAAAGAAAAAAAAAAAAAAAGGCACAGGCAATTGGTAAGAAATTTAAATTTACAAACTTGTAACTAATATAAAGTAACTATTATAGAATTCACAGCACTTTACAGTGAACAATTAAACATTCAATAACTAATATAAAAAACTGTAATAAGTAACAAATAGTATTTATATTATTTGTATTTGTATTACGTATTAATAGAAAAGAGAATGCCTTCTCTTTTTTACTTTGTCCTTTAAGAACTCATAAGGAACCCCTGACTGATACTATACAGACCAATCAACAATTTATAGCATGCCCCTAACATGGTACAAAGTGCTCTAAAAAATGAAAAAAAGCAAAAGAAAACACACACATACACATACACAGATAAATACAAATACATTTTTATATTAAGCAAGTGGCAATTCTATCACTCTTGTCAAGATGGTTAGCTGTTCTGAAGAAGTACAAGTTTGATGAGATAAATTTGGATCTACTTTAAAAATTCAGTATTTATGGATGGAAAAATATGATGTCTAGGATTACTTCAAAATAATCCAGTAGGAAGAGGGGGTACAAATGAAAGAAGATGGGCTGAGTTGATAATTGTGGGTAATGGGTACATGGAGTTTATTACTATTCTCTCTACTTTTGCATATGTTTGACATTTTTCCTAATGAAGACTAGAAAAAAATTTTATTTTAGTATCTCAAGGGATAGGAAATAAACCAGATGAATCAAAAAAAAATTAATGGTTTGCTCTAAATATAACAGTACTGAAAACAGTGTACATTAAAATAATCCTGGTACAAAAACTTGTTTTGAAATGATAAGAACAATAATTAACAGTGATTTAAAACACCATAAATAATACAGTAGGCGTTTTTGCACCTCTTGTGAAGTAGGGAAGAAATGCCTCAGATAGACCAGAATTCAAATCCAAGCTACTTACAGGGTGAATTTACTACTTGGGCAAATTACTTAACTTCTCTGAGTAGGATTCCTAACATGCAAAATATGGGTAATACCTGCCCCCTAAGGATTCTGTAAGAATTAAATAAAATAACTGCTTAATACAGTGCCTGGCACAAGTAGGTGCTCAATAAATGGTGGATATAAATCTTATTATTAATAAAAGCCATAAAAATAATGAGAACTATACTGCTGGAAAGATTTTTGAATTCTTGGTGGAAAAAGGACTGATTTAGTGGCCTTCAGAGTATCACAATGCCTAGCGATAGTGCTTACATACTCAGTGCTTACTGAATTAAACTCAACTGCCACCAAACCAATGCAAAATATCCAACATAGCTAACTCTGGCTTGAATGAGTGCTCTGAAGTCAGTTGTCTGACCTATCCCTGCAACATCAAGTAATTAAAACCTTTCTTACATCAGTGCGAAAGTCTACACTGAATAGAGGAGAAGGTGGTGTTGGTGACTGTGTTGCCACAGGAAGAGTTGAAGAGACAAGAGGTGCTTTCTGAGTGTGGTACTGTGCCCACTGCTCTGGCTTTCTTCTTATCTGCTCCTCGCAACTGGTCTTCAAATGACCACAAGGTTCCTAAGGGGGGATAAAAGAAACAATCTTAATCATCTAGGGAGTGGTAAATAAATTTAACTATGCTCTGTGGAAATAATGTGAACATTTATTATATTGTTGGGACAAAAAGAAAAATACAGTAGGGAAGTCACCCTAGCCTATTCTCCATACACTTAAACGAAAGGGTTAATATTTAGTCAAATGTTAAAAGTAAAATCTGAGCGCTCACTTCTCTGGTTTAGGAAAATCATATGTATATAAGTCGGGATACTAAAAATAGGCCCTGTCTTTGTATTTTGAAGATTTCTTTTTACCTTCCCATCAGTTTCGTATCCAAACATAACATTTATTGAGCATGAATATGCATCAGGTCTAAGAGCTTTGCTTTTTCTGATTTAATCCTCACAACGGCTTTATGAGGTAGGTACTACTATGATTTCCATCAAATACGAAAAAACTGATATAGAGAAGTCAAGTAAAATTCCATAAGTCACACAATAAGTAAGTGGAGGAGCCAGGATATATACCTGAATGGTCTAACACCAGACTCTAGAGTCTTAACCACTACACTATATCAGCATTCCTATTTCCATTATCACTTACCCTTGGTAAAGGCACAGTTGTCCTTGGCTCACTTGGTGGCTGGCAAGCCACCGAATAATACCCATCTAATGAGTTATATCTTTCCCGCAAAGACGTCTGATACACAGACGAGTGCATCACATCCATTGGAGGTAAAGAATTGCTTCTAATAATGTCATCTCGTTGGTACATAGGTGGGCGCCAGATGCGCCTGCTGTCGTACACAGGAGCATACATTCCAGAAGGTACTGGAGGAACTGGTCCATACGGCTGCGGAGGAGGAGGTTGGTAAGGAGAAGAATTCATTCGATCTCGAGGCGAAAATGTACTGTAATGATCAGCATATGGCATGGAAGCAGGTGGGAGGGAGGACTCTGGAACATTATTGGACCTCACAAAGCGAGGAACACAGGGAGCCACACCAGCTGGTACTGTTGGAGGTGGTGGATAGTATCCTTGAAAATTGGAAAGAGGAATATTTAATGTAATCTTAGTAAAATTTAACATTCTGTAATGGTTTAAAGTCTAAAGCAGCCTTTAATGTTGGAAAATAAAATAAGCTTTGAACTTTACTTTAGTTACCCCTGGTTTAGAAAGACACTACACACTTTCAAGACACCACTATATGAAAATCATTAACGTTCAATAATTTGTTAAACTGCTGCTTAAAAACACTTGAAGAGCTATTAACAGATGGCTGGTAAATTTCCTTCTAGGCCATGTATTGCCACAGGTTTTAGATTAAGTAATCAGTTACATCATTGATTCTTAACCTTTTGGGGAGCAGAGGTTAAAGACCTCTTTCATAATCTATATAAGCTGTGCATCGTCTTTCCAAAATTATACTTAAGTATATATAAACCAAACATTTAGTATACTATTTCAGAGGACATACAGAACTTACTAAAGCTCATCCATGGACCCTACATTTGATTCATAGGAATGAGAATCTTAAAACTACTGGTATGTAAAATCATAGATTCTTAGGACAGGAAGAAAACTTAGGGGTCATATAGTCCAAAGGATTAATTTTTTAATGTAGATTTTCTTAGATAGATATAAATGATTCACTAATTTATTACAACAAATGTTATATTGTAGTTTCTTTTTTTCTTAGAATTGTCTAAAATTACTTACCTGTCTGTGGGTACTGTGGGACTTCAAAGGGTATGTGAGTCCTTGGATCTTGAAAATACTGAATGTTTTCAGAATGCTGAGGATATACTGGTACTCTAGTTATAAATGGGCTGGATTTTGGAGGCACAGAATTCAGCTCTGTTCCAACATTAGTGGGCCCAGCTGAGGTAGCTGCTATATTACTTACAGGAGTCTTGGGTGGAGAACCAATTTTACTGGAGAGAAAATTTAACAAGGGCAAATGATAAATCACTATCTATGACTGTTAAAAGTCTTTCTCAGTAGGAATGGTTCATAAAATTATAGTGATCACTAACAGCAAATGCTTCAGGTATTTCCACAGTGACAAATAAGGCCATGAATTTCATTACCACCTTACACTGTTAATTCACAAGATTATAGTAACAGATCTCATATTTTGGTGAGGATGAAAAACAAAACAAAAAACTGCAAACAAATCCCAGGCACAATGTGACCCACTAGTCCCTTTTTACTCATACTTTAAACAAAGATTTTTCCTACTGGGAGTTTAAAAAAAATCCTGTTCAATAACTTCTCAACAGAAATAATATAGTTTGCCAGTAGAATTTTTTGACACAAATAAGACAGATATGTAAAGGGAAGGACTGCTCTAAATATTAAGCATTAGATTAGCTGAAATGTAAACTTATTGAATAAAGGCCATTTTTGCCCATTTTGTTAACTGCTACATGCCCAGGATCTAAAACAGTTTCTGGCACACAGGAGGCACTCAGTAAATATTTGTTGGACAAATGGAAAAGTTCCTGCTACGTAGTAGGTACTCAGTAAATATCTGCTAGATGAACAGAATGTCAATGAAATGGTTACTCATTAAATTGATGCAAAACACACAAGCTTTTTTTTTTTTTTAAACACAAGGGATTTTCTTTGTTGATTCACCAGGCGATCAGCTCCAGAGGATCTCACCATGGCTTTAGGCCCTCTGAAGAAGTCAAACTTTGGCAGAGCTGAGATATGTGGTGACGCAAGAAAAAGATCTTGTTAATGATGCAGGAATTCAATACATTGCATCTCAACTAGATTAGAGGGTTTTTCTCAAAATAGAGCAGCTCTTTTAAAGCAAGAGTATAAATAACAAGGAGTATGGGCTGCCTTTAAGTCTAGCAGAGATTAGTCTAGCAGATGTTTACTTCTATGTGCAATTGTGTATTAAAATGCAGAAAATAAGAAACTGTGGATAATAGTAGTAAGTACAAATGGCTTAGAGTTTAAAGATATTTTAGTGCTGTGCTTATATTTTGAAGTTCAATAGAGGCAACAAGGAAAATGATTAGGGTTTCCTCTTAACAATGATAGTAACACTAATCAATTAATGAGCACATTCCAGAAACTATTCTAAGTGCTTTACATAGATTATCTGGTCCTCCATAGCAGAATGTTATATACCATAAAATTCAGATAAGTACTTTGAAATGACAAATTCTTAGACTTTGCAGGAAAAATGTACCAAAATCCATGACAAGGTTCATAGCCTTATGAAATCATGCAAGCTATCCCAAAAATCCAGACTTAAGGAAAAAGCTAACTTTCAGTCCCATTCTAGCCAGACAGCTAGATTCTAGATGAATTTAGGATTCTAGGCTGTCCTTTGCAGCAGGCCCTCTTACCTACATGCTTTTGCCTGTGCTGCTTTCTCTACTGACGAGACCCTTCCTTCCTAATTAGCCATACTTTTGGAATGCCTCAGGTGTCATCACCTTACCTCTAAAAAACCTTCCATAATAACTCCAGGTAGAATTATTGTTATTTTTTGTGTTTTAATAACACTTGAAACACAACTCCATTACAGTACCTTTCAGAATATATTATATGATATCTGTTTATGTCTGTCTCCCAAACTACACTGGAAGACTCTTAGAAGCAGGGAGTATATCTACTTCATTTTCATTAACTATGCCAATTGTCCTGGTATTTGGCACATATCATAATTTCTGAATGAATAAATGATTTATTTACCAAGATTTACTTATTTTTGAAAGTTGTTTTCTCTAGTCCATCATTTTTTTAAAAACTAAGATATATTTACCCTTGTAAGGTGTACAATTCAGTGATTTCTGGTATATTCCCAAGGCTGTGCAACCATCACTGCTATCTTATTCTGAAACATTTTTACCACCCCTAAAAGAAACCTGTACTCATTAGCATTCACTCCCCATCCCCTTGTCCCCCAGCCCCAGCCCCTAGCAACTATTCATCTACTTTCTGTCTTCTATGGATTTGCCTATTCTGGACATTCACATAAATGGAATTCTACAATATTTGACTTTTGTATCTAGCTTCTTTCACTTAATATATGTTTTCAAGGTTCATCCATATTGTAGTATGTACTAGTACCTTATTCTTTAACGGCTGAGTAACATTTCACCGTATGAATATAAAATGGTTTTACAACTTTACCTTGCCAAAACCCTTCAAAAGCTCATTTCCTAAATATATTTAACACAAGACCTCCATAATCTGGTGCCAACCTACCTATCTAAATCTTATCATATTTCACCTAGCAATATAAAATTTTCCTATTCTTTAATCCAACCCCAATATTGCTTTATTTATGTAAATGCTGTCTCCCCAACTATGTCTTTATAAGTTTCTTAAATGCACAGATACCTTTTACATCTCATGTATTTTCTTTTCCTTTATTTATTTTTAAAATTTTCTTTATTTTTTTTGGCTGTGTTAGGTCTCAGTTGCGGCACTCTCATGTATTTTCAAGAGTGCCAAAATCAGAGCTCAGTATTAGTGTGTAAATAACATTTGCTAAATTAGACAATGTTCTCTGATTTATCTCTTCGAAGATCTCTCTGAGGGAAGATTATAAGGATCCTCTAATAAACAAATTTCCCTATCACATGCTAATTGCAGAAATAAAGAATATAAATGTCTACCTATCCATTTATTATTTGAAATCCCTAGCAATTTACTGTGTGCCTAGCATAACCCTTTTTCCCCAAAAGGTATATAATAGACACTGACAGACTATTTATGGGCAACAATCTAAACATGCTTTCGCTCAGATTTTAAGAGGCTAAAAGAATACAAAAGCCTGAGGTATTAGAGGTGGAAGTAACTTTTCAGATAATCGGAAAGTTTTAAAACTTTTTTCTTAAAGTACCAAAACCTTTCTGCCAAATTAAATCTTATGCTGAAACCCCAAAACAACAATAATGGTAATAATAATAATGGTAGTTATAATAACAGCAGCAGATATTTAGTGAGTGCTATGTGGCAGGTACTATTCAAAGCACATTGCAGTATTAACTCATTTAATCCTCACAACCAACATATGAAGCAGGTAGTATTATTATACCAATTTTATGGATAAGTAAACTGAGGAAAACAGATTAAGTAACCGGCCTAAGATCAAACAGCTGGAGAACACTGAGCCAGAATTTGAACCCAGAGTTTGGCTTTAAAGATTTCCCTCTTAACAACTACACATCATTACAGAGCATAAAGTGGAACTGTTCTAATTGAAACAGGCTGGAGGCTCAAGCATCTCATCTGCTTAGGTTTCTACTTAGTTCCTTTTTGGCACCTCTATGGACTCAATCCTAAAGTTCAAGGAAATAAGGTGAGAAAAACTGAATTCTGGTCCAACCTCTTCAGTTTACAGTTGAAGAAAACAAAACCCAGAGTTGAAATGAATTTCCAAGGTCACAGCTATTCAATTGCAGATCCAGGACTAACTCAACTTTTTTGGTATTTAGTGCTTTTTCTACTACATGAAACATTCTGCATAAAAATTCTGATTAACTGCTTTTCCTCAGGATAAATAAAAATACTCAGGTACTTATAAAAAAGGCTAAATTACTCACGTTAAACATTTTTACCTAATACTTACTTTTCAGTTACAGACTCTGCAGAAGGCCCAGCAGCATTCTGACCATTAGTGCCAACCTTCCCCACTTTCTTCACAGTCTCCAGAGCTCTTAATGTACTGTCAGTACTACGAGGAATTAGCTGGGAAACACTGTTTTCTGCATTTGAAATTCCGTTTGTACTTGGAACAATTTTCCCTGTTGTTTCAGTACTTCCTATGACAGAAATGACATTTCCGGCTGTGGTTGTGACAGTGTTGTTTACACCAACTTTATTTAGAAGAGGAAACGTTCTTACAGTTGCATTGATCTTTTTGTTCCTTAATCGATACCTGTTTCAAAAACAATAAACATATCAGTAAATATTTCACTAAATCTTACCCTAAGTAAAAAAAAAAGAAAAAAAAAAAGGGAGGGAGCAATAGGAAAAAATGTTAAAAGGAAGAACAACTTTGAAAAACAGGTTTCTTCAGAAACTAACACACCATTGTAAAGCAATTATACTCCAATAAAGATGTTAAAAAAAAAGTTTCTTCAGCTAAATATCAAATACAGTCTACATCAAACTCTGCTATGATAGCCACCACATGAACATGTATCTGCCATATACAATATATATATGTACACACAATACTTATGTATGGAGACACACAATTAATGTAGCAAGAAAAGTACAAATGTATTCAAAAAACTATTTTGAGAGTGGGAAGAGATCTTCTTGAAAATTTTGTATAATTGGAATAGAAAGTACACTATATAAAAATGAAAGTAACCATACCAAATTTATTTGGGAATGTAGAATGAAAAGGTATGCAAGAGTTGAAAGAATTCTGTTGTTACCAAATTGTTAAGACATCATATTATTTTAAAGAGATTAAAACAAACCCAAAACTCATTCTTAAACATTACACCAAAATATAGAAATTTAGTATTCTACTTTCAGATTAGTTTATGACTAAAGTAAAAAGTATTTGGATTAAAGATATTTTCCGATATTAAATTCAGGGTTTTATTTATGGTGGTCAGATACAATACTCTAATATATGAAGCAACCTGATCTCTGATTCCATTTAAGAAAATTTATTTCCAGTCATACAACAAAAATTTCATTACAATGTAGTCCTAGTTAGTGTTCCCTCCAATATTTTAAAGTGGTGAACAACTATGTTATATGTATAGAAAGACTGCACACATATGGGTTCATAATTACATATACCTAAATTAATCTGATATTAATGTTATATATAACCAAACATATGGTAATTAGATATAAACAGTGTTAGTGATGAGCAATGCCTTAACAACAGTTTCCCTTTTAGTCCTCCAGTATCTATAAACAGCTTCATTATTCAATTCTCCCCGTCTCATTCATACACACACACTGACAGAAGCAGCAAAGCTCAGTAAAGACAAGTATTCCCAGATCAGACTGGCTAAAGGTGGAGTAATAGAACATGAAGTTCAAAAAAAACATAGGTTATGGCCAGCTTATATATGTCATCTTATAGATCTGGGGAACCAATGATTATTTCTTGAAGAATGAGGATTATAAGCAGACCTATATTTTAGAAAGGCAGTTTGGTGGCATGGAGGGGCCAGTGCTTTCCTCAACACGCTACTCTGAAACCTGCTCTTCATTCTTCACTTCAAAGGTTCTTGCACAAAATGCCCAGCTGCTCCTTGCTTTCCATTCTCAAAGGATAAATTTCAAATTTCCTTAAGATTGCTCGGGCAGGCAAAATATAAAGTTTTAATTGTGAGTCTCTTAAAAGAAAGGAGTAAGGTAAAGTAAGGGACAAACAGGGATACATACTGGACTCCTGGCATCTAGGCAGCTAAAGACTTAGGCTTGGAATCTGGACCTCACAGTTGAAAAAAGCCAATTACCTCCTATTCTTTTAAAGTCAGCCATGAGCTCCCTCAAGTATTGGCTCCCTGCCTTACCCAGCTTAGAATCCATTATCTACCATTAATTCCTCCCTTATAAATACCTTTAACTCCCTTGGTCCAATTACCCTGTTGAACTCACCTGGTAAAACCCCAATCCAATCTGTTACTTATTCTCTTATTCTGTGTCTGCTCAAGTAGGTGAATGTTGCTAGAGAAAAATCATGCAATCATGCTGACTAAACTCTCTTCAAAATCATGATCAAGTATTTAAAATGGCCAAGCACTACATTAATACACTTCTCTACTAAATTCACTTTCCTATCTCTAAAATCCTCTTCCCTTCCATTCCCCAGAGCCCCGCCACAGCTGATGATACTGCCTCCCACTTCACAGAGAAAACAGATGACACCAGAGGAGAATTAATTATCTTTCCATCACCAATCCCGCCAACCTTCCTGCTTCTGTAACTACACACTCCACCTAAAATAGGAGGTGAAGAGTTCCTATTCCTAACTAAGGCCAATCTTTCCACTTGCACCCCAGGTCACAAGCCCATTTCCCTTCTCAAAGATTTCACTCCTATAATTATCTTTTCTTCTCTAGTGAATCATCACCTCATTCAGGTGTCTGCTTAAATGTCATATCCTCTGGGATCCCTTCTGATCTTATCTAAAATATCTCCCCTTTCCCAATCTCCTTCTCCTTACCTTGTTATTTTTCTTCGTAGTGCCAATCAGCACCAGATATTATGTTTTCTATTTATTTGGTTTATGTTGATCTTCTCTATTACAATGTAAGCCCCATGAGAGCAAGAATTCTGCGTTCCTTATTCATCTGTCTTCAGCACAGTGCCTGGTACATGTTAGGTGTTCCATAAATATCTGCCTCATGAATGTGGAGTAATCCTTAAAATTCACATGGCCAAGAGTACTGATTTTCTACCCCCAAGCATTTCCTATCTCAGTAAAAGACATTACTTAGTTATGCAGGCCCCAAACCTTGGAGTCATCCTTGATCTTCTCTTTTCTTTATACCCCACATTAGATCTACCAGTCCTATCAGCTCTACTTCCAAAATGTATCACAAATCTGGCTACTTTTCACCATCTCAATTACTATTGTCCTAGGACCAAGCTACTAATCTCATGCCTGGACCAAGCTACTAATCTCATGCCTGGACCACTGCAGCAGTTTAACTGGTCTACATCATGCAGACACTAGAGTGACATTTCTAAGAGAAAATTAAAATCTCATTGTTCCATTTGAATAAAACCCTATAATGGCTTCCAAAATAAAATGCAAACTCCTTGCCAATGTCCACCAAACCAATATGGTCTGGCCCTCGCCCAACCTCTACAACGTTATCTTTTGCCATCCTTCTCATTCTCCAGGCACACTCGTCTTCTTTCTAGTTCCTGAACATGCCAAGCTTGTTTCCACCTCAGACTTTCTTTATAGCATTTTATCAGTAACTGAAATTGTCTTAAGTTTACATGTTTACTGTTCTTCTTTCCCCACTAGAAGTACCTCAAACAGTACCCAGCACTTAACAACCATTTTTAAAAATATTTCTTGAGCTGGTTGACCTCAGGCTTTTGATACTCTCCAGAATGCAGCAATTTTGGGGAACAGGATTCCAATACCCTAAATTCTAAAATATATTCACACAAATATTCTTAAGAGAGATTCTGGGCATTTGTTTGGTTAGAGATATGTATAGTAGAGAAAGCAGGCTGGGATAAAATTTATTTAAGTTAAACAAACATTTGCTGAATTCCTCCTGGTACATTATGGGAGCTAAGATAAAGGCTCCGCCCTCAAAAAGTCCAGAGCTGGGTAGCAACATGCATTTTTTTAACCAACGAGATAATGACATCTTCCACTTCCTTAATGCTTTGGATTATCCTGTTTTTCCTTCTTCTTCTTCTTCTTTTATTTAACAGCAACAGAGAGTGTGAAGCTGGTTGGAAATATGAACTACAGATTATTTGCTCTTTCAACATAAATATCCTGAGTTTACATGTCAAATACCTGTTAAGTGCAGAAAATATAAAGATGAATAACCCATAAAATAAATGAAGTCCAGTGAAAATACACACCAGTAAATAAATAATTGCAATACAGTGAGAGAACTGGTAGTTATAAAGTTACCAGGTATAGACTACTATGGCAGCACAGTGAACAAAGCAACTAACACTGCCTGGGAAGTCAGGGAAGTTTTCAGACAGAAGATGATATCTGAGTATAATCAGGAACAGGAGCTCTCCAAACAGAGAAGAGGAAAGCATATGATATAGTGAACAACATGTATAAGGGAAAGAAGAGTGAAAGAATTCATATAGTAGTAAACTGGATGTACCTTAAAAAAATAAAGAATGCAAAAGGTGGAATAAGGCTGGAAAGCAAGATTGGGCCCAGAACCAGTGATATACTGAGGAACCAATTAAGAATTTAAAGCAGAAGGTGGACATGATTAAACCCGTATTTGTGAAAGAAAATCTTGGTTGAGACATAAGGAGATGCATGTAAAAAGATACATAGCAGGACTTCCCTGGTGGCGCAGTGGTTAAGAATCCACCTGCCAACGCAGGGACATGGGTTCGAGCCCTGGTCCAGGAAGACCCCACATGCTGCGGAGCAACAAAGTCCGTGAGCCACAACTACTGAGCTCACGAGCCACAACTACTGAAGCCCACGCACCTAGAACCCATGCTCTGCAACGAGAAGCCACCACAATGAGAAGCACACGCACTGCAACAAAGAGTAGCTCTCGCTCGCCACAACTAGAGAAAGTCCGCGTGCAGCAATGAACACCCGACACAGCCAAAAATAAATATATAAATTAATTAATCAATTAAGTAAAAAAAGCCACAGAGCAGTAGAATGGACAAATTGGGTAAACATGTGAAACATTAAACATTGCACCTGGCACAAAATTTGACTGATTAATTTGGCTATTATTATTTTTACTGCTACCATTATAAGCTCAGGCAAGAAATAATAAAGTTCTGAAGTAGGAACTGGAGATAGAGAGCAGGAAGCCAATTTGAAGGTGTAAGAGGTAAAATGATTTTCAGGTGGGCACCAGTTGTGAGTGGAATATGAAATCACACAGTTTCTTCTCTTTTTTAAGTGCTCCCAAGCAAGGTCCCCTAAAAAGCTCTATTTTAACTAAAAAGCTCTACTTCAGGTATGGACAAGCTCAAAATATCTGGAGTCTAAAAAATCATCTTGATGTAAACTCTGTATACATCATATAGAACTGCCTAGACTAGACGCAAACAGCACCCTTTTTTTCTTAAGACTCCTGCAGCCTCTCTGGGATCTTCCAGTCTGGGAGAGGCAGGGGGATAGTAAGAAGGGAAGCATGTTTCTGCTCTTCTTTTTAATGCACACATATTTATCTTCTATCACACTGCTGTTGCTGTAGAGCTCATTATGTGCAGGGCCCAGTGCTAGCCACTGAAAAGAGGAGACAGTAATAAACAAGATGGATATATAGTCCACGAACCTTACACTTCAGTAAGGGAGACATTCAATAAATAGATCAGGGGTCAGCAAACTATCACCTATGGGTCAAAGTTGCTTGTTTTTGTAAATAAAGTTTAAAGCCATGCCCATTTTATGCATTGTCTATGGTGGCTTTTTTGCTACAGTGGCAGAGTAGAGTGGTTGACTGAGATCAATGAATGGTTCACCAAGCTGAAAACATTCACTAACTGCATCTCTACAGAAAAGTTTGTCAACCCCCAAGACAGACCCCATAAGTTAATTATAATTTTGATAAGCAGGAAAAAGAGGAACCTGGTTTAGTATGAAATACTGGGGGGATACCCCTGAAAAAGAAAGGATGAGCTAGGCACAGGGAAAGCTCCAAAGGCAAGGCTAGAAGGAACCGCATTATATAAAAGACTTCAGGTGGGAAGGAGCATGGCACTGACAAACGGTCAGCGTGGCTTGAGTATACAATAAAATTAGGGAGCGTTGTGAGATGAGATAAAAAAGGCAGGCACAAACTAGATGACGCAGAGTCTTGCGGGCCAGAGTAGATTTTATGTTTATCAACAGGAATGGCCAAGTCTCATTATCTGCAATGAGCCTTATGTGTAAAGTTCTCCCTATTTTGGGGGGAATAATGGGATTGGGGGTCGGCAACGATAGCTGTAAGATGACTAGTTAGGAGGCAACTATGGATCAAGAAAAGGGGATGACAGCTTAGACTATAAGGACAGAAAGAACAAGGACGAGTCAAGAAATATATAGGAAGGTGAACTGACAGAACTTGGTGACTAAGACAAGCAGGTGAAAGCTGGCAAAGATGATTCCTATAACATGGCACGTATAACTGGCTGGACAGGGTACACTTGGGGACAGCAGACAGAAGATGTATACAAGAGAAGATGTATAAGAGGAGAAAATTAGCTCAAATTGGGTTTAAAGTGTATAAAAACAAAACAGAGATGTCCATTAAGAGTTGATATAAAGACCAGTTATTCAGTAGAAAGGCTGGAGTCAGTTTTTGGTGAGATCTCAATGATGAATGTTTTGGTTAAAAAACAAAATAACAAAAACTTGGACAACACATATTACAGCTTATATCCATTTACTTTTATGTCTGGGGTAAATGGACATAGAAAAAGGGATTACCCATAGGACAAGAGAAAGGGAAAAGAAGACAGAAAAAAGAATGTTAAAAAGACCAAAAACCATAAAAAGGAAATGTATCTGCTTTACCATTTTACCTGGGACTCAGCTGTTACCTTCAATGGAACCTGAGCAAGTAAGAGTGAACATAAGAATACTTTCATTCTGCACAGGTGTTTAGCAGAAACATGGATTCCAGATATACAATGGTCTAAAATATGACACCTGAATAAGGTTCTAAATCACTTATTATGTTAACCATGCTGCCAGAAGCAACAAGGTGTGGTTTCAAAAGAAAAGGTTATTTTTTCAATCTAAAGACTTCCACAATGCAAACTTGACTGCATCTTTGAAACTCATCACAAACTTTAAGACTCTATATAACACTTTCATAATGACCAAAAATTAATCCCAAATAAAAGAGAGTTCTCCTAACTTACTTTTCAAGCTCTTCCTGAGAATGGGCAAAAGTACAATTTGTTCCTCGTGGACACCCTCCTTGCTGTCGCAAATCTCGGCACATGCTAGTCTTATATTTGCTGTTTGGCTGAGGCTACAAAAAGAAAATCAATATTTGGAAAAGTGAAGATTCCAGTTGTCACTCACTCTTGGGACTCCAGAATTTTATGATTACACCTTTAATTCTTTTTCATGTTAGATAAGTAATTCTTGTGCTGACACAACTACCACTGCATTGTTTCCTGTTATGAGTTATGTGGCATAACCCTGAGCTAGCATTTTAGATATTCCTTCTGAGGATTATCTGGAACTGGTTCAAATGTTATGTTACTTATTTGCCAGGCAACAAAATGCCCACGAAAATAAAAGATTTTCTCATCAATTCATTGCTGTCTCAAAATTATGATACCCAAATCAAGCAACCAATTGCAAAAAGCATTAAAAAAGCCAGAAGCTTTGTCCACTTAAATGTTCTCAGGAAAAGGGAGAATACAACTTACCCCAGAAGTTAAAAATTAAGAAATACTAATTTATTTGTCAATTTGAGAGTACAACTTTCTTCTAAGGCTTGGAGCTAAGTTCATACAAATAATGAGGCAAAATATAAAAACATCATCATAACTGCTATAATTTGCATCAAAATCTAAGATGTCATTGTTATTTCTATGACCTTAATAAATATAAAACATTCATCTTTCAGTTAAGATTTGAACATTATAATGTCTTCTAATAGAATAAGGACAGAAGAGTGGAAAGATCACTTTGGAGTAGATTTGATACCAGTTCTGTCACTTACTGCCACCATGACCTTACATATGTTATTTAACCTCTTTAAACTTCAGCTTGGGAACAGCAATTATCTTGCAGGTGGCTGTGATGATTAGAAATAATATATGTAAAATATTGAACATAGGGACTGGCTCATAGTGATTTAATAAATGGACGTTACTACTAGAATGAAGGATTTTACCTTAAATAACTCCTTCAAAAGTACACTGAAAATACTTATTTATTTACTTCCACACATATACAAACATGAATTCATTGGTATGGCAGCAAAGGAGAAAAAAGTGACAATTTCCCCACATTAGAAGAAAATTAGACAAAATATTTGGAAGGAATCAGATCTATAGAGTTGGTCAAAAAAACCTGCAGTGAACTCATATTCAAGATACACCTCAAACTGCTGCTGTACTATGAATTATTTATCAGGTGCACTAAAACTTGGGTTTCTCTCAAAAGAAGAGAGACAATAAAAACTTATGTGAGAGTGGAGTCACATAAGGAGTCCATTAACCAAACAGCTTGTTAAGATGTTCAGGATGCTCTGTTAAAAATTTAAGAGCAGTCAGAAGTGCAATAAATGTGCTTACCTGAGGTGTCTCATGGCCTTTTCTACTGTAATTTTGTATGAAGTCCACAAGGCCATGAACTACTGTTTTAACAGCTACCATTGCATTTTCTAGCTGCTCCCAAGTTGGTGAAACAGCATCTGTATAGTCCACCAAGGGGATGGGATGAGGAAAAGAATTTGTTAGCAGTTTAAGTCTCTTGTGTTATTTACCTCAAAGGAAGAAAAAGTATAAGCAATTATTTTGTCACATACCTGGATTAGGGTCTATGTTTGCAAGAAGCTCTAAATGAGGCCTCAGTCTATTTAAGTTAGCTGGGTCACCTGTTCGTTGCAAAACAATTGTCAATTCCTGAACACTCTTTGCAAATGATTCTGGAGACTGCAGCTAACATAAAAAGAAAACAGAATGGTTTTTACTCTGGTTTTTATGATCTGTCTATATTCAAATGCTTTCATTTAGTCAACATACTGAATAGGTTTTCAAGTGTCTTCAGATTCCATAGTAGGAGTATCAATGATGAATTAAATTTTCACCTCAGAATCTGCCCTATGAAATTCATCATTAGACACTTAGAAAACTTATTTATTAGCTATCCGGTGTCAGAAATAGATAAATGACAGACTTGGTTAGCCAGCCTCCTTTTATGCTAACATCCTGTATTTGCTTCCCTGTTGCCCCCCTTAGTTTATTTTAAAAGTTAGGAAATAATAAAAAAGAAAGATATTTATAACAGTTTTATATGTAAAAACAGGACTCTCCAATTGGTTGTCTCTTTACTCCCTTCAAAAGATTCAAATACTCGCCAATGTAGCAGAATGATATAAAATCAGCATCTCTAATTTCACAAACCTTATCAATGATAGACTGCATGTGTGATTTATGTGCCAAGTCACCATACAGAAGTGAAGACCACTGCTCAGGTGAAATACGGAGTCCTGCTTCCATAGCAATATGAACAATTTGGGCATCATGTTCTCTGCGTAAAGCCTCATAACTCCGAAATTCCTCCTTTAGCTGCATTAGGGAAGAGTCTTCATCCCTTTTGGTAACCTAAAAAATAGAAAGGAGAGAAAAACCCATCAGAATTACTCTGCTCTTCCTCCTTCCCCAAACAACTTTTTCTTTTTTTTAGATGGGGGAGGTACCTATAGCCTATCAGATACTACATGGAGAAGGTACAAAGAAAATAATGTCATCACCACAGTTCTTTTTGGAACAAAGCAGAACTTACAAAACCTAATACATAGTTCTGCCTTCCTTCAATGAGCTCAGCAGGTGGTAGGGAAGAAACTTGTAAATAGAAAGTTATAGTGTAAGTGTTAGACTCTATGGCAACATAAAGGAAAGGCAATTAAATCTGACAGGTGGGGGAGGGAAGGGTGAGTATCAGGGAAGGCTTCCCCCAGCAGAAGGCTACATGAACTGAGTCCCGAAGAATGAACAGGAGTTCCCCAGGCAAAGAAGGGTGAGGAATAGAATTCTAAAAAGAGTAGCAAGTGGTAAACAGAAACATGAAAGAGCAGAGCACATGGAATTAAAGGCTAAGATGTAGGCTGGAGAAGAATCACAGAGGGCACTATATACTATGGTGAGAAATTTGGGGACAGGCACAATTTGTTTTATTGCACTTAATTTATTGTGCTTCACCGGTAGGTACTGCATCTTTTACAAACTGAAGGTCTGTGGCAACTCTGTGTCAAGCAAATCTATTGGCGCCATTTTTCCAACAGCATTTACTCACTTCATGTTTCTGTGTTACATTTTGGTCAATTTTTGCAATATTTCAAACTTCATTATTATTACATTTGTTATGGTGATCTGTGATCAATGATATTTTATGTTACTATTGTTGTTTTGGGGCGCCATGAACCATATCCATAAAAGATGGTGAACTTAATTGATAAATGTGTGTTCTGACTGCTCTATCAACCAGTGTTCCCCTGCCTCTTTCCCTCTCCTCAGGTCTCCCTATTCCCTGAGACACAACAATATTGAAAGTAGCCCAGTTAACAGCCCCACAATGGGCTTCAAGTGAAAGGAAGAGTCACATCTCTCACTTTAAATCAAAAGCTAGAAATGATTAAGCTTAGTGAGGAAGGCATGTTGAAAGCCAAGACAGGCTTAAACCTAGGCCTCTTGTGCCAAGAGCTTGCCAAGTGGTGAATGCAAAGGAGAAGTTCTTAAAGGAAATTAAAAGCACTACTCCAGTGAACACACAAATGATAAGAAAGCAAAAGAGCCTTATAGCTGATACGGAGAAAGTTTTATTCGTTTGGATAGAAGATCAAACCAGCCACAACATTCCCTTAAGCCAAAGCCTAATCCACAGCAAGGCCCTAACTCCCCTTAATTCTCTGAAGGCTGAGAGACGTGAGGAAACTGCAGAAGAAAAGTCTGAACCTAGCAGTGGTTGGTTCCTGAGGTTTAAGGAAAGAAGCCGACTCTATAACATAACATTACAAGATGAAGCAAGCCGGAAGTGCTAACGTAGAAACTGCAGGAAGTTATACAGAAGATCTAGCTAAGATAACTAATGAAAGAGGCTACACTAAAGCACAGATTTTTCAATGTAAATGAAACAGTGCTGTATTGGAAGAAGTCGCTATCTAGGACTTTCATAGCTAGACAGGAGAAGTCAGTGCCTGTCTTCAGAGCTTCAAAGCTTCTCCTGTTGGGAGCTAATGCAGCTGGTGACATTAAATTGAAGCCAATCTTCATTTACCTTTCCAAAAATCCTAGCTAGGGCCCTTAAGAACTAAGCTAAATCTACTCTGCCCGTACTCTAGAAATGGAACAACAAAGCCCAAATGACAGCACATCTGTTTACAATATGGTTTACTAGATATTTTAAGCCCACTGATCAGACCTACTGCTTAGAAAAAAAGATTCCTTTCAAAATATTACTGCTCGTTGACAATGCACCTGGTCACTCAAGCGCTCCAATAGAGATATACAATGAGATTAATGTTGTTTTCATGCCTGCTAACACAACATCCATTCTTCAGCCCATGGATCAAGGAGTAATTCTGACTTTCAAGTCTTATTAGTTAAGAGATACATTTTGTAAGGCTAGAGCTGCCATAGATAGTAATTCATTTGATGGATCTGGGCAAAGAAAACTGAAAACCGGTTGGGAAGGATTCACCCATTCTAGATGCCACTAAGAACATTTGTGATTCACAGAAGAGGTTAAAATATCAACATTAACAGGAGTTTGGAGGAAGTTGATTCCAGCCCTCATGGATGACTTTGAATGGTTCAAGACTTCAGTGGAGGAAGTGACTGCAGATGTGGTGGAAACAGCAAGAGAACGAGAACTGAAGTGGAGCCTAAATATGTGACTGAATTGCTGCAATCTCATGATAAACCTTTAATGGATGAGGAGTTGCTTCTTATGCATGAGCAAAGAAAGTGGTTTCTTGAGATGGAATCTACTCCTGGTGAAGATGCTGTGAAGACTGTTGAAATGATAACAAAAGATTTAGAATATTACATAAATTTAGTTGATAAAGCAACAGCGAGGTTTGAGAGGATTGACTCCAATTTTGAAAGAAGTTTCACTGTGGGTAAAATGCTATCAAACAGCATTGCATGCTACAGAGAAATCATTTGTGAAAGGAAGAGTCAATCAGTGGGGCAAACTTCATTGTTGTCTTATTTTAAGAAATTGCCATTAACACCCTAACCTTCAGCAACCACCATCCTGATCAGTCAGCAGCCATCAACACTGAGGCAAGACTCTCCATCAACAAACAGACTATGACTTGCTGAAGGCTCAGATGATGGTTAGCATTTTTTAGCAATAAAGTATTTTTTAATTAAAGTACATACTTTTTTGGCATCATGATATTGCACACAATAGACTACAGTGTAGTGTAAACATAACTTTTATATATACTGGGAAGCCAAAAAATTTGACTCGCTTTATTGCTACATTCACTTTATTGCTATATTCGCCTTATTGCAGTGGTATGGAACAGAACCTGCAATATCTGAGGTATGACTATACTATCCTGTAGGGAATGGGAAACCACTGAGGACTTTTAAGTAGAAGAGGGACATGATCTTTAGGCAAACATTAGTGCCATGGGTGATGATTAAGAAATTAAGAAATTTTCTGCCACCACAAAAATTATTAGGGTATTTTTATAGCTTTAATCTATACTTAAGTGATAAAAAACATAAATTCAAAAGGTAGAGTTTCACATGTCCTAGTAACTGTCTAATCATCTAAACATGCAGGTATGTGGCTAGATAATTTCCGCAATAAATGATACACACTTATTTCTGAACCATTAAAACTTGCTAATGGCCACAATTAAATTTGATACCTGGTTAGAATTCAGAATACCTAGGCAGAGTACAGGCTCTGAAACTTAGATTGAACAAATAGTTCAAACTATTCAAATTGATGATTTTCTCATCAGGAAATGAAAATCTCCCTAGACCACCTCACTGGTAGTCTTGATTGCTGTTGTTGGCACATGAGACAGCAGTAATATGACCCCAAGAACATGAAGGTGGGGAAATCAAGTTATCATCTGAGAGTTAATAGTATCAGTTCACAATTCTCTTTGAGAATATATAAATACATTATAAAAAAGTATGGGACACCCCAAATTCTAATCAACACAGTCTTACACAGAATTTAAGAAAGAGCAGAGTATAACTTAAATCACAAAATAACCTACTTAAAGAAACACTGAGGAGGGACTTCCCTGGTGGCACAGCGGGTAAGACTCCACGCTCCCAATGCAGGGGACCTGGGTTCGATCCCTGGTCAGGGAACTAGATCCCACATGCATACCACAACTAAGAGTTCTCATGCCGCAACTAAGGAGCCCACATGCAGCAACTAAGGAGCCTGCCTGATGCAACTAAGACCTGGTGCAACCAAATAAATAAATAAATATTAAAGAAAAAAAAAAGAAACACTGAGGAAACAAAAGGAGGAATTTTTTTTTTTTTTTTTGCTGTACGTGGGCCTCTCACTGTTGCGGCCTCTCCCGCTGCAGAGCACAGGCTCCGGACGTGCAGGCTCAGCGGCCATGGTTCACGGGCCCAGCCGCTCCGCGGCATGTGGGATCTTCCCGGACCGGGGCACGAACCTGTGTCCGCTGCATCGGCAGGCGGACTCTCAACCACTGCGCCACCAGGGAAGCCCAAAAGGAGGAATTATTAATCCAAAACAGAAAAAAGAAACCCCCAAAACCAGAGGATGGTAACATTCATCCAACCACCAAGGTACAGGGTGCCTCTTGGGCAGCATGAACATCTATCCACCTGAGTTGTCAGATGTATACAGGTGGCTAACAGAGCCTGGTCCTATTAAAGTTCTATAAACATGCATCAAAATCACCTATGAAGCTTTGAAAACTATAATTTCAGGTAATCAGAATCCCTGGTTTCAAGGACCGCATAATTAACAAATATATATGAATGCTCAAGTCTCACTGGTATATTTTGGTATCAGATATACCAAATCAAAATATCTAGGGATGGGACCCACAAATGTATACTCTTCAAAACTCCAGAGGTGATTCTGATGTATCTTCAGTTTAGAATCACTGCATTAAACAATAGAATCATTAACTCCCCTTGTTCTGATTCCATGCTAAGCAAGCAAAGGTTTGATACTCTTCTACAGGAAAATAGCTATGACATGAGAATTAAAGTCATTTAAAAGTTGCACTTCTCTTGGGCTTCCCTGGTGGCACAGTGGTTGAGAGTCCACCTACCGATGCAGGGGACACGGGTTTGTGCCCCGGTCCAGGAAGATCCCACATGCTGCGGAGCGGCTGGGCCCGTGAGCCATGGCCGCTGAGCCTGTGCGTCTGGAGCCTGTGCTCCGCAACAGGAGAGGCCACAACAGTGAGAGGCCCGTGTACCGCGAAAAAAACAAAAAAACAAAAAAACTTATAAAATTGATAATATGTAGTATGTGACCTTGGTTGTGGTGATTCTGTTCCTGAGGAACCCCCAAAATTCAGGTCTCTAAGCCTATAATCAAGGAAAAGACCTTCAACAATGGTGAGTTTATAAGAGTAAATGCCCCTGGAGAGAGGCCTTTTGGCAACTGTCAGCATGATACCCTTTGATTCATGTAAACACTGCTTTTAACATTTTAAACTACAGGGCAGCAGTACAAGATGAAATGGGAGCATGAAACTGAAATCTTTCTAAACTTAGTGTTATTCAAATGTCAGATATTAGGAGCAGCTGCAGATGTATGACAATCATAAACCACAAATTTGTATGATACCATTGAGGAAAAGAAACAACATTAAGTCAACAATACACAGTGTGAGAACCAAGCCAGTCACTTCAGGATGATAAATGATTTCTGTAATTTGCCTGCTTAGCCAAAAACATTATGTTCGAGGAACCAGAGATTCATTTCAATTGTTGCCCTAAGGACACAATCAAGCACTGTAACTATCAGGCAGATAGTGTCCAACCCTCATTTGTGGAGATAAGTGAACTCATTTGAACATATTTCCATCATCAATTAACCTGTTATCTCAAACTAAGCAGTGTGCCAAGAAAACCTCCTTTCTGCCTGTACTGTTTTCACTCTTGGACTATAAAACCAGCAAAATAGCTTAAATAAGCTTTGGCTTCAAATTCAGATGTTTTACTTTATAGAAGTACTTTACAGATGTTTTGCTTTATAGAAGCCAATGGGTCTTTCTATTTCCAAGTCCTTGGGCCCTTCTCAAGTCCCCACCAGTAACCTATATTCCTGTAACATGCAGAAACGTCAAGGATTCAGCCTACTTTCCACATCTCTCAGTAACTGTCATCACCCATAAGCCTATTTGACAATGAAACTACATTTCTAAATAACTTAGGGTTCATCCCTATCCTCTCTGCCAAAAACCCCACCATCTAAATGCAGAGTGGGTCCGTATCCTCAACTTTTCACTCTCTTGTCATCCATAAGACAACATATGGGCCATCTTCAGATTAAAGGTTTTAATCTAATCACCACAGAGAAAGAGATAAAAATAATTAATATGGAAGTTAAAACATTATCTACTGTTATGAAGTTTTCAGTATGCTTCCTGACTCCCTTTTAAGATGGTAAACATTAATGAAGTAGGCTTCTTTAGTTCACTTTTACTATTCCAAGAGCCAAGTTTACCAAAGTATTTCCTCACAGTGTTACTGACACCTTCACGTATGTGTTCTTACACCAACACATAGTAGTATCACACATATGCAGTATCACAGATGCAATAAATGCAGAAAGTAAAGTTTCCTTTTAACTCTTGTAAGCATTCTGTATTTCTGGGGCCTCTAGACCAGGTAACACCCATTCCAGGTATCTCACACCCAGGCATGTAATGTTTAGATGGTTGCTTGCTACTTACCTTAAAACAAGAAGCTCGATACAGTAGTTGCACAACATGACCAATACTTGTTTTTGATGCCTGAGGAAATCTTGGTTCTAGTCTTTGCACAACAAAAAGTACCAGAACTTTCCTTGAGAGAGCAGAACCATCTTCTAATGCCAGCAACACCAGCTTCAAGGCCTCTTCTTGCATAGCTAGAAGTAAAAACATGAGTTCATGATAAATGAGAAGACCTGCAGATAATGCCTGTCAGACTACTTTGGGTATTAGTTTATGGTGATTCATTATCTGCAGTCTGTAAATACTTAGCAGAAAAACAGGCCATCACACGTGTGCAAATACAGTTTACTTAAAAAGAAATCAAGCAAAAGAAAACATGCGTCCTACTAAACAACCAAATAGAACACAAGTCAACAGAACTTAAACAAAATATATCTTCTGTAGGTATTTAATAGTCAACTAGATAATGATGTTAAAGTGAAAAAAAGCCCTCATTTTTAAAACTCACAGAGCTACTATGACAATTAACATGTAGAGAACACATAGTAGTCTTAAGATAAATGCTAATTTTTTAATGCATGAGACTGTTGCTTTGCCTGTCAGAATTATTTTGTATATAATTTAAAAGTGATATTAGCCCCTGGATGCAATACCTAAAGAAGGCATCCATTTATGTTGTTTTCCAGCCAGGGAGGTAGAGTATAATCTGAATCTAATCATGAAGGAGCATGAGAAAAACCCAAATTAAGGAATATTCTATAAAATAACTGCCTGTATTCTTCACGAATACCAACATTAGACAAAGAAAGGCTGAGGAATGGTACTATGTTAAAGAAGACTAAAAAGAGACATGACAAATAAATACAATACGTGATCTTAGACTCGATCATAAAATGAAAGAAAATAAATGCCATAAAAGGCATTTCTGGAATAACCAACAAAACTGGAGTATGAACTATAGACTGCAGCATTGTACAAATGTTAAGTTTTCTGAATTTGATGAATGTACTGTTTTTACGTAGGACACATACTTAAGTGCAAGGGGTAAAGGGGCATGAAATATGCAACCTACTCTCAATGGCTCAGAAGAGAGAAAGAGTGAATTATATAACAAATACAGCAAAATATTAAAAACTAGTGAATATGGATGAAGAGTATATAGGAATTCTCTGCATTATTCTTGCAACATTTTGGTAAATTTGAAATTATTTAGAATTAAAAAGTTAAAAATACATTGACTCTCAATGAAAACAATGGAACTGAAAGATCTAGAATCTAGATTAAAAATCAAACCCCTCTCTTCCCAAGTAAGACATCGAGGCCCAGAAAAGTTAAGTGACTAGGCCAAGTTTCACAACTAGTTAGCAACAAAATTATAATTAGAACCAAGGACTTTTTAAAAGTTGAGGTAAAATTTACGTAACTAATACTAACCATTTTTTTTTTTTTTTTTTCTTGCGTTACGCGGGCCTCTCACTGTTGTGGCCTCTCCCATTTGCGGAGCACAGGCTCCGGACGCGCAGGCTCAGCGGCCATGGCTCACGGGCCCAGCCGCTCCGCGGCATGTGGGATCCTCCCGAAACGGGGCACGAACCCGCGTCTCCTGCATCGGCAGGCGGACTCTCAAGCACTGCGCCACCAGGGAAGCCCAATACTAACCATTTTAAAGTATACAATTCACAATGTTGCTGTACAACCATCAACTCTACCTAGCTCTAAGACATTTTCATCACCTGAAAGGAACTCTATAGCCGTTAAGCAGTCACACCCCATACCCTTGACTGCAACCCCACTCCCACCCCCACCCCCGTCTCTGGGAACCACTAGCTTGATGTCTGGTTCTATGGATTGACCTTTGTTGATGCTTCATATAAATGGAATCAGAATATTGTGACCTTCTGTCTGTCTTCTTTCACTTAAAATAACATTTTCAAAGTTCATCCACATTGTACCATGTATCGGTTTCTCAATCCTTTAAATGGCTGAATAATATTCTATTTATAAATATACCACATTTTGTTCATCCATTCATCAGGATTGATGGACAGTCAGATTGCTTCTACCTTTTCACTATTGTGCATAATGCTGCTATAAACATTTGAGTATAAGTATTAGTTTGAATATCTGTTTTCAACTCCTTTGGGTATATACCTAGGAGTGGAACTGCTGGGTCATATGGTAATTCTATGTTTAACTTTTTGAGGAACCGTCAAATTGTTTTTCCACGGAGGCTGCATCATTTCACATTCCCAAGTTCTCTAACATCCTTGCCAACACTTTTTATTTTCCACTTTTTAAATTATGGCCAACCTAGTGGGTATGGTATCTCATTGTGATTCTGATTTGCATTTCCTTAATGACCAATGACACTGAGCATCTTTTCATGTACTTCTTGGCCATCTATGTATCTTCTATGCAGAAATGTTTATTTAAGTTCTTGGCCCTTTTTTTTTTTTTTTTGCGGTACGCGGGCCTCTCACTGTTGTGGCCTCTCCTGTTGCGGAGCACACGCTCCAGACGCGCAGGCTCAACGGCCATGGCTCACGGGCCCAGCTGCTCCGCAGCATGTGGGATCTTCCTGGACCGGGGCACAAACCCGTGTCCCCTGCATCAGCAGGCAGACTCTCAATCACTGCGCCACCAGGGAAGCCCCCAAATTTAAATTGTGTTGTTTATCTTTTTGTTGTCGAGTTATAGAACAAAGGATATTTGATACCTAGTCTAGTGCTTCTTAGGTAAGGTAAATAAACATGAGGAAATATCCACAGGTAAGCATTCTTAAATTATACATAAATATGGATTTTAAAAATTATTTTTCAATTTAACTTTGTATTATGGAAAATTTTAAGCATATACAAAAGTAGGGATAACATGTACCCATAATACAGCGGCTGACACTAAGGTTTCATCTACTCATTACCCACTTTTCTAGTTTGTTTTGGCTGGAGCGGTTTGAAGCAAATCCAAGATAACATAGTACTTCATCCTTAAATAATTCATTATGTATTTCTAACACATAAGAACTTTAAATTAACATAACACCATTATCATATCTAAAAAGAGTAATATATTTCCTTAATATCATCTAATACCCAATTCAGGTTGAATTTTCTCCCACTGTCTCAAAATTTCTTCTTATAGTTGGTTTCTTTGAGTAAGTATCCAAATAAAGTCCATATATTGCTTTTGGTTTGTATGTCTTCAAGCTTTAAAAAAAAAAACCTATACTAGTTCTCTCCCACTCACCTGTTTAAAAGAAAATAATTTGTTGCAGAAACAATCAATTTTCTAAACAATACCCCCACATTCTCGATTTGGCTAATTTTGTATTTGTGATGTTCCTTTATCCTCCTTATTTCATGTAAACTAGAGACTTGATTAGATTCAGAATGAGTTTTTAGCTTTTGGGTTTTTTTTGCGGGGGGGGCAAGCATACACCTTATTCTATGTATCACATCAGGAGATACTTAAGACCTAGATGTCTCACTTTTAGTAATGTTAAGATTGATCAGTGGGTTTGGGCCTTTTTCATTTATTAACCTTTCATCTACTGGTTTTAACAGCCAATAATAATTCTTGCCTAGACCCATTAATTCATTTTATGTGATTTTTCTAACCTTAACATTGTTTTTCTAAATTTATTAGTTGGAATTTTGCTAAGAGAGAAACCTACCCTCAAAACCCTGAGAAACTGTCCTTGAAAGCAATTTGTAAAGGAAAGTCAGAAAAAACATGCTTGATGTTTCTCTACTCCTTTTCCAATTTTTAGCATAATGTGTTGGTGCTCTAGCAACTGCCAAAGATAACCAATTTATTTTTTCTGTACTATCATTACAAGATCATGGATTTTTACACATTTTATGTGTTCGATCCATTATAGTCATTATTCATTTGGAGGTTCAGATTGTCCCACTTTTGTCCAGTGGGAGCCTTTTCAGATTCTGTCCTTTTGACAAGATTCTGATGCTCTTTAATAGCTTTTTTGCTTTCTAGCACAAGACTTCCCAGGTTCATCTTGTACTTTTCTACCCTAGAACTGGGATAAGAAATTTATTAAAAGAGCCCTGCTTCTTTTTAGTAGGAAATGGTATTTATTAAAGGCCACACTTTGGGTGCTATGGCTATTCATTGCTTCCAAGCCTTTTAAGTAGACAGAGCTAGGAAACAGTCATTTTCTAGAAAAAGAAAAATAAATGAGTCTGTACTTATATTGCCAATTCAAATTTAAGAATGCAGGGTTTTTACATAAATTCTTTGATTTCATGTTTTATTTTTTTAAGAAAGTATCTCTCTTTTTTTAAATGGCAAAAACCTTGGCTGCTGATGGTATTATCATAATTACCTACTTGCTTTATCCTACTGTGTGTCTGTATAATAGTTTCAAAATAACAATACCAATAGAATTATAAACAATATGACTAGTGAATACAATTTAGGATTTATTATATATCACACTAGGAATATAAAAATCAAAAACACTGTGTTCTAAAGTCACCTGAAATAGTTCATTCCTGATGAATATGCTACCAACTTATGAATGTTTTAGCTTTTCATTCTTAGGTGTTTTTTTGTTTTATTCATTTTATTTAAATTTTAAAAACTTATATTTACTAAGAATTATTTTATGATTACATAAAACATTTACATGGGTACAAACTACAAATCAATGTACACTGAGCGAGATCTAGCCTCTGTCTCTATCTGCTTTCTCTTGGTTCTTCCCTACTCTACATGTTTATTATTTTAAAATTTTTCCACCATTGCTTCCTTTGGAAAATACAAACAAATAATTAGAAAATGGTTGTCTCTTTCTCCCTTCCCTATTTAAAAGTGTGCTTTACTGTAACAGGCACACTATTCTGCACCTTGCTTTTATTTTTTAACTTAATGTATCTAGAAATCACACCCAGAAGAATATATACATTTTCCTCATTACTTTCAACAGATGCATGGTAGTTCACTGGAAGGATATATATACCAGTTTACTAAGCCAATCTCCTATTCATAGACATTCAGGTTGCTTCCAGCCGTTTACTGTTATAAACAGTGCTTTATAACTTTATGCATTCTGCATTTTTTGCTATATTTATGGGACAGATTCCTAGAAACAGCACTTTTGGGCCAAAGGGTAGCTGCAGAGGTGATTTTGCTAGATACTGATAAATCCCTCTCTTTAAAGTTTGCACCACTTTGCATTCCCACTATTACTGGATGAAAGCACCTGTTTTCCCACAGCCTTGACAAGAGACAAAAGTTGTCAGACTTTTGAATTCTGCCAATCTGATAGGTGAGAAATGGTATTTCACTATAATTTTAATGTATATTTCTGTTAATATGAGAAAGACTGAGCACATTTTTATCTGTTTGAGGACCATTTACATTACTTTTTCCCTTGAGTTGTCTGTTTCTATCTTTAGTCAATTTTTTAATTGGGTAGTTGGTATTTTTCTTCTGAGTTTTTATAAGTACCTTATATATTAGTTATATTAGCCCTCTGTATGTGATATAATATAAATATTTCCCCAAGTTTCTCTTTTTTTTAATTTTTCTTATGATGTTTTATTATGATTCAATTAAAAAAATTATATAGTCAAATACCAATCTTTTCTGTTATCACTTCTGGATGTGGAGCCAAAGAAAACAGTGTTTCCTACTCCTAGGTTATAAAGGAATTCACTCATATATTTGTTTTTATTACCTATACAATTTATTTTTTAATCATAAGTATTTCTAACCTACTTGGAATTTATGTAGCTAACGAGTATTAAGAAATAAATCCATGGGGACTTCCCTGGTGGCACAGTGGTTAAGAACCTGCCTGCCAATGCAGGGGACACGGGTTCAGGCCCTGGTCCGGGAAGATCCCACATGCCACGGTGCAACTAAGCCTGTGTGCCACAATTACTGAGCCTGCGTGCCACAACTACTAAGCCCGTGCACCACAACTGCTGAGGCCCATGTGCCTAGAGCCCATGCTCTGCAACAAGAAGCCACTGCAATGAGAAGCCCGCACACCACAACGAAGAGCAGCCCCCACTCGCCGCAACTAGAGAAAACCCACGTGTAGCAACAAAGATGCAATGCAGCTAAGAATAAATAAATAGAAAAATATTTAAAAAAAAAGAAATACATCTATGAAAAAAAGAAATAGAAGAAGAAAAAAAATTACATCCAATTTTATCTTTTTCCACATGTCCATCCAGTGGTCCCAATGCCACTTAATAAAAAAGTTTCCTTTGCAAAAACAAATTCTTCCTAGCCTATAGTTCTAAATCAGAAAGGCAAAACAATAAAGCTTCAAGAAGATAACATGGGAAAGTACTTCATAACCTGGGTACAGGTAAAGATTTTGTAAACACAATGTAGATGATGGTAACTATAAAGCAATCATCCCCTGATGATTCTTATTTTTTCTAATAATTTGTTTCCCAATTTTAAAGACAATCATGAACTTTTAATTTCTTTCATAAAAAGGTTTACTTTTCTTTACTTACTACCTGTGTATTATTAGGCCTCTCTCTAACTCACTTTTCTAATTTGTAAAATTGGATCCGTGTCACTTTTCTTAAAGAAATGAGAAATTATTCTAAAACACTATCACACTGTTTATCATATAAATTATGATTAATAAAAACTAATTTATTTTTAATTATGTCAATATTTGTATGTATAAATCTGAGTATTCTCACCTACTCCTAGAAATTGGCATCCTCTAGCTCTGATAGCCAATAAGAAAGGCAAGACAGTGATCTATCTTACCTGGCCCTAGAAACTGGCATCCTCGAGCCCTGACAGCAGCCCATAAGTTGGCAGACAATTGCTGAGGGTTCTGGTGCTGTAATATTAGTTCCGTTACAGTTCTTTCTCCAAGTGAACGGGCTGCTCGTATGGCTCTTACACGACCTTCTTCCTCCACCAGTTGACAGTTTACAAGTGTCACCAGTTTCCTTTGCATTGGACGGCTCAGTGCACTCTGGTTCAAACTAGCTACACCTTTAGGAAAAAAGGAAACTACAGTTTTTTTCAATCAAAAAAGACAAGTCAAATTTCATTACCTTTTTAATGAAAATATCTAGTATTTAACTATTAAGCCACAATTCCTAATCAGTCCCCATAAGGTACTTTCATTTTTTAACAATGAATATTTTGTCCCTGTTTATTACTACTCTGTGGTAATTGGAGCCTAATTTTTAGTTACTTCGAATTTTATTTGGGTATCCTATTCTCTAGGCTACGTGTGTCCCACAAAAGAGAGTAATTTGGGTTTATTTAGTCTATTCTTCATCTTCACTAAAACTACTGAAGATAAATTTAGACCTAAATAAATGAAAAAATCTAAATGTAATGATTAACAACAGCTCTAGTTTTTGGGGCTTTTTTTGTTGTTGTTTTGTATGTAAGACATTTAGAACACGGTTTAATGACAAAATCTTAGATCCTATTCCCTTTTCAGATTCAAAGATATTGCTCCAGCAATTCTTCCCTCTTTCCCACATCATCAATTGTTCCCTTTCTACTTGATCATTTGCATCAGCATACAGTAAGAACAAGCATGCTGTTATTTCATACATCTTAAAAAAATTAATAAATCTTTTTATTCATCCCTTTTCCCCTACCTGCTCTGCCCCATTTCTTTCCTGTTTTGCAGCAAATCCTCTAGAGTTGTCTATATTCACTATCTCCAAATCCTTGCTTCACAATCTTTAAAACCTACTCCAATCAAGTTTTTGCCACTATCTCTTGATCAAAACTGCTTTTCTCATAACAACAATTACCTCCTCTTTGCTAAATCAATGGTCAATTCTCAATCCTTATCTAATCTGACCTTTCAAGAGCACTCAACACAGATCACTCCTAACTCCTTTAAAAACATTCTTTACTTGGCTTCCAGAACACCCCTGTCTCTTAATTTTCTTCCTTCCTTCTTCCTTTCCAGTCTTCTTTGCTGATTTCATCTTTTCTTCTTGACTTCCTAATGTTAAACAGCCTAGGACCCAGTTTTTGTTTTCTTCTCTATCTATACTCACTACTTAGGTGATCTCGTCCAGTCTTACTGCTTTAAATACTACCTGTATGTCAATGACTCCCAAAATTACAACTCAGACCTCATTCCTTAACATATATTCACTGGTTACCTAACAGCATCCAAGTGAAGATTTGACATCTTACATTCAACACGACCAAAACTGAACTCCTGATCTTCCTATCTAAACCTAATGTCCCTGCAGTATTCCTTGTGTAAGTTGATGGTAACTTCTCTTTCCAGGTGCTCAGGCCCCAAAACTCAGGAGTCATACTTGATCCTGCTCTTTCCTTCATACCCACATCCAATAATTTAGGAAATTCTCTTGATTCTACCTTCAAAAAACATCCAGACTGTCCACTTCTCACTAGCTGCACTTCCACTAACCTTGTCCCATCAGCCAATAGCCTGGTTCTCCCTTTGTCCTTCTACACTGAATTCTCATCAGAGCAGCTAGTGTGACCCTTTTACCATTAGTCATATCATGTCATTCCTCTGGCTCAAAATCCTAGAGTAACTCCCCAATTTCACTAAGAGTAAAAGCTCAAGTCTTTAAAATGGCCTGTAAGTCTGTACAACATCTGGCCTCACCATTTCTTTTCATTATCTCATACTGCTCTCCCTCTCACTCACCCTACTCCAGGTACATTCTCCGTACATTATCCTGTTTTTGTTCTTTGAAGACACTAGGCATGCCTTGGGGACTTTGTTATTTCTTCTGCCTTGAACAGTCTTTTCCCAGTAACCTACATGGTTAACTACCTCACTTCTTTCATCTCAAGTTCGAAAGCTATGTTCTTAACAAGGTCTACACTAATCACCTTGTTTAAAATTGCAACCCACCCTTTTCCCCTCACTCTGACATTTCTGATCCATTTAACTATACTGTTTTCTTTCCACAGCAATTATCATTTATAACATAGTGCCTGGTACTTAGGACATGCTCTTTAAGTATCTGTTCAATGAATGAATGAGGTAGATAGGATCAGTTTCTCAAGGAAGTCACTGTGTCCAAAATATCCAACAGTGGAAAGCACAGAGCAGATACAAAATAAATACTTGATTAATTCACTCACTCAACAACTTTTTATTACATCTATGACCTGCTACCTACCTACAGAAGAGAATTCCATTTCTGTCTCAGCACTTAACTTACTGAGCTTATATGCCTATCTCCCCAATAGACTGTGGGCTCCATGAAGACCCTAACCTTTAAGTCATGTAAGTTAACTGTAAGTACTCCATAAAATTTAATAAATGACTGAATGAATACATGAAATTGTCTTAGTAGGATTCATTAAAACTAATATTCTGCTATAGCACCATTAGTTTAATCAGTGAATATAAACATTGTATAAATCTCAATATGTAGTATGTCTGATGAATTCTTAAATTAATAACAATATTACCTCTAGAAAATAGTATAATGTTCTCAATCAAAAAGATTTCCATGATCCCTTTAAGCAAACTCATTTATCAAAACTCAAAATTATTTAATAGGGTATCAACATCAAGTCTTCCAAAATTAATGTATTACCAAGTCCTACTCACCCATAAAAATACTTCTTTATGAACTTACCTTTACCTCCACTCAGTGGTTTTAAGTAGAGTGCCAAATCCTCAACACATTTCTTTGCAACCTCATAGTGTTTGTTCTCACCTAAATTACTTAACTTTACTGATTGATGATCTGGTACCTAAAAAACAAAGAAAAACTGAAGAAATACATTCATCCAGTTCATGCAATTGTTAATTTTATATCTGATAATAATCTTGGTGAGTATAAACTTCTAATACACAGACAATCAAAGTAGTTTAAGTGAAATTAAAGCCAAACACCTAGCCAATCTGCTTTCCAAGAACCAAGGATATCATACTTAATAGCATGGGCTGGGTGAATTAATGAGAGGAAAAAAGGAGGTAGTTAATTGTACAATGTATCAATGTTATTCCTCAGGGATGATAACTATGCTATAACTTTGAAAAATGTTAACATTAGGGGAAGCTGCAGAAAGTTAACAGGTTCTCTGTGTACTGTTTTTTGCAATTAAAAAAAGTATTTCAAAATAAAAAGTAGGAAAAAAAGGCAAGAACTTTTTTCCCCTTAGCACTTGGCACCTGCTTCCTATATAATTTACTTATTATATTTATTGTTTATGGTCTGTCCCCCCTTGTTCTCAATGAAAGGTCAAAACTTGGGTAAAACCTTGGGCAGCTCTGCAACTGCTACAAATGATCTTGAGTAAATTATTTAACTGCTCCAAGTCTAGTTTGGACTGCTCAAGATGGTTTCTCTATCTGCAAAATGAAGATGAAAATCCCTATTTCACAGTGCCATTATGAAAATTCAATTTAATTCACAAATATTTATATTCATGGAGTGCTTACCACGTGCCAAACAGTTATAGGCAGTAGGCATCTATCAGTGAGCAAAACAGACAAAATATCTTGCCCTTGTGTAGCTTACATTCTAGTAAAGAGGAAGCAGCCAATAAATTTTTAAAATAAATAAATAAATATATAGTATGATAGAAGGTGGTCAGTAAAAATTATACAGCAAGGATAAGGGAGATTTGAGAGTGTTGGAGGGGGATTGCAATTTTAATAGGGGTGGTCAGGATAGGCTTCCTTGGGAATCATGACATTTGAATATAGACTTGAAAGAGGAGAGAGAATGAGTATCTCAGGCAAAATAACAGTCACTGAAAAAGCCCTCAGGTGGGAACAAGTTTGGTACATCTGACAATTGGTTAGGAGGCCAGTGTGGCTTAAGCAGAAAGAGTGAGGACAGAGCAGGAGATAAGGCTGAAAAGGTAATAGAAGTCATATTGTAAAGACCTGCAAGATAATTTAAGGACCAACTGAGAGAACATTTATAAGTGAAAAAACACAATACCTGACCTATAGCAGATGCTAAATGATAGCTAGTATTATTACAAATAATCTACAGTATTTTATTGAATCTAAGATGCCACTGTTTGCAAGAGGCACCATTGTTTTATGCACCATTAAGGAAAAAACTGCCAATTAATTTATGACACACTATTGATAAATAGATGCATCTTGATTTCAGAGTGTCTAACTGGATTATGAACACTGAAAAGAAATGTGCTTTAAAACGAAAACCTCAAATATCAAGACACTAAAGGAATGGAGTATTTCAATTCACTGAATTTTCTAAGAAGTGATTAATCAGAAAAATCCTTACTTTCTTGCTTTAATATGTAGTACATGAGGTACAGAATTTCACCTTCTTCCTCACCTGTAAAATGGGGATAATAACTACCTGAAGAACTATGACAAGAATTAGTAATAATAGATGTGGACTGCTTACTATCATACCTAACACAAAATAGGCCCTCATTATATGAAAATTATGATAAATCTAGGGTCTTGCTGATTCAGTAAAATGATAAATAAGATATGCTATTTCTATAGCATATGAGCATAAGCAGAAACTGCAGAATTTGTTACTGACACTCTAGAAATTGGTTTTCTATATATACATCTTATATATGTATATATACCTATACAGACCTATTTTCTCATTTATAATATCATCCTAAAAGTCAAGTGAAGTTTTAAAGAAAACCAAAAAACCTCCACTTAAGGATTTTAGATGGTTGATTTCTGGCCAAAGCTTTGATTACATTTCTTTTCACACACCCTAATGACTAAATATTTATGTATGCTTATACAAAAATGTTTTTTATCCACCAAAATCACTTAAAAACATATTTGGGGCTTCCCTGGTGGCGCGGTGGTTGGGAGTCCGCCTGCCAACGCGGGGCACGCGAGTTCGTGCCCCAGTCCGGGAGGATCCCGCATGCCGCGGAGCGGCTGGGCCCGTGGGCCAGTGGGCCGTGGGCGCTGGGCCTGTGTGTCCGGAGCCTGTGCTCCGCGGCAGGAGAGGCCACGGCAGGGAGAGGCCCGCATACCGCAAAACAAACAAACAAACAAAAACCAAAAACAAAACAAAACAAAAAAAACATAACTTTTGACCACAACACTGAATACAAAAAAGTATATAATTATATGCAATTTACAGTTTTGCATAAGGATTTATGACACTATCTAAAGAAAATCATTTGCGGAATACAATAATGAAAATCAGGTATACTGAGTACTTTTTATGTCTCAAATATCCCTAAACATACTTTGTACCCCTTAATGAACAAAGTTCTATAATTATTACTTATACCAAACACGTAAAATCCTGAAAGGTTACCTGGGCTCCAACTAACTGGAGAAGTGCGAAGTTGACAGGAAGCACATCAATGTCTGTGTTGATGGCAGTCTGATCAAAAGGACAAGCTTTTCGGTGAAGTTTATTCAAGCAGGTCTTGCAAACAGTGTGTGAACAACCTAAACTGATGGGTTTGTGCACATTCTCATCAAATTCATTATAGCAGATTGGACAGGACAGAAATTCTGTCCATTGAGCTGCCTGCACAGGCATTGTGGAAGCTGGATGCTCAGGTTAGCAGTCTAGCAGATCATTATTTTGCTGGGTAGTGTTTTGTAAGCTGGAAATGGACAAAAGTAAGAATTAACCACATATTCATCATTCACCTTTCAAGAGTTAACTGCTTAAGTCAACCATCACAGCTTCAAAACCTAAAACACTTTAAAAAAAAAATTTATTTATTTATGGCTGTGTTGGGTCTTCATTGCTGCGTGCGGGCTTCTCATTGCGGTGGCTTCTCTTGCTGCGGTGCACGGGCTCTAGGCGTGGGCTCAGTAGTTGTGGCGCACGGGCTTAGTTCCTCCGCGGCATGTGGGATCTTCCTGGACCAGGGATCGAATCCGTGTCCCCTGCATTGGCAGGAGGATTCTCAACCACTGTGCCACCAGGAAGGCCCAAAACCTAAAACAATTTTGAATAATTCTATATGCTTTGAACATCTTTTTCTTTAAATCTATTTGCTGAATTAAATTTCTGAAAATTTTTTGTGCAGAAACAATATCCTTATAGTGCTCCTTCTGACTAAACATATTTATATCAGTTGCTCATCAAAGCTTTCATGTATTTTTCTTAATGACCACATCAAATAAACAGATTAACTTTCCACAATTTCATTTTTAGAAAAACAAATTACTTTGGATTGCTAATTTAAAAAAAAAAAAGTGTTTCCCTTGGATATCTACTACCCCCAAGCATAGTAAGATATGACCTAAGAGTTAGTGAACTCTGGAAATACTGATCCAAACAAAATCACAGTGAGTCAGGAGTAAAGTAACAGCTTTGCCACCTGAATGACCAAGTCAGTCAAGGATAGTTTACCTTGGCAGTTTCACAAAAGAGGAAATCTCTGGTCAGGACTTGACTATGAGGCTAACTAAGGTACTGAAAAAGTATGAGAGAAGACTGTTAATGATAGAACCGTTTGTCCATAAATGAAAGAATGATGCTAACCTTAGAATACAGTGCCAAAGTAAAAGAAAAAAAAAATACAAATCTTGAATGTAATTCCCTACAATACTTTTGACAAAACATATCAGTTAGTGATATATATATATATATATATGACCAAAAACTGTCAGGTCCAATGAGCAAGATGTTGAAGAATAAAATAATATTCTTATCTAATAACTCTAAACAGAAAAACAGCAAAATACAGTTGACCCTTCAACAACGCAGGCTTGAACTGCCCAGCTCCACTTATACACATATAATTTTATTTTTATAATGCTTTTTTTTAAAACATCTTTGTTGGAGTATAATTGCTTTACAATGGTGTGTTAGTTTCTGCTTTATAACAAAGTGAATCAGCTATACATATACATATACATAACATATACATATATCCCCGTATCTCTTCCCTCCTGCGTCTCCCTCCCTCCCTCCCTCCCACCCTCCCTATCCCACCCCTCTAGGTGGTCACAAAGCACAGAGCTGATGTCCCTGTGCTATGCGGCTGCTTCCCACTAGCTATCTGTTTTACATTTGGTAGATACACAGATATTTCTCAGTAGTAAATGCTGCAGTACTACGGAGTATGGCTGATTGAATCCACAGATGCAGAGGAACCATGGATACAGATGGACAAGTATAAATTATATGTGGATTAACCCCAGCATTATTCAAGGGTCAACTGTTTAAATTTCTATCTTTATATATGCATATGATTAAAAGGCACACGGAAAAAATGACCGATTTTTCTTTTCTTATTCCTAAGATTAAAACGTTCCATAATTTTAAATAAAATATTTAGTATCAAAACCTCTAATTTAAAATCTTTAGATCCTGGGACTTCCTTGGTGGCGCAGTGGTTAAGAATCCGCCTGCCAGTACAGGGGACACAGGTGCGAGCCCTGGTCCGGGAAGATCCCACAATGCCGCGGAGCAACTAAGCCCGTGTGCCACAACTACTGAGCCTGCGCTCTAGAGCCCGCTAGCCACAACTACTGAGCCCATGTGCCACAACTACTGAAGCCCGCGTGCCTATAGCCTGTGTTCCGCAACGAGAAGCCACCGCAATGAGAAGCCCGTGCACCGCAACAAAGAGTAGCCCCCGCTCGCCGCAACCAGAGAAAAGCCGGCGCACAGCAACGAAGACCCAACGCAGCCAAAAATAAATACATAAATAAATAATTAATTTTAAAAGTATATATAAAAAATAAAATAAAATCTTTAGATCCCAAACTTGAACACTCTACATTTCACAGATTTTCTGCATCTTCCAATTCAAAACTTATATAAGTCTGACAGATGCTCTCTGGTGAACAAGAAATCTAGGTATTTAGGGCAATTATCAGCCAATACTTTATTTCATAAGAATGTTTACCAATCCAAATATATTAGTGCCACAGAAATTAGATGTTTAAAAATGTAATCAGATTCAGGACAGAAAAGTGTATAACTGATTCTCAAATAACCCCACACTCAAATGAGGAATTCTATTAGCCTTTATTGTGCTTTTTATGTTCAAAAAAGCTAAGGTTTTAAAAAATACCTTGGTAAAAATGAATTACAGAACTTGCTGTGTAAAAAGCATCTACACAAACTTTTCCTCAAACAGCTCTGATGCAAAGTATCTAATATCTTTATTTATAAACTACCCAAATCTTGCAAGCTATGTTTACTTTATTTTACACATTTCACTTTCACATTTCCACATCTGTCAATGCTATCAATCTTAAAAACAGTCTGCGGGGTTCCCTGGTGGCGCAGTGGTTGAGAGTCCGCCTGCCGATGCAGGGGACACGGGTTCGTGCCCTGGTCCGGGAAGATCCCACATGCCGCGGAGCGGCTGGGCCCGTGAGCCATGGCTGCTGAGCCTGCACGTCCGGAGCCTGGGCGCCACAATGGGAGAGGCCACAACCAAAAAAAAAAAACAGTCTGCTTCGAACTTCAGAGATGAGCACTGAGCAGGTGAACACATCACTCCTTGAAACTATTCAACATTTTTAATGTTTAGTCTTCTAGGCTGCCGAATTATATAAGGAAAAGACCTTTCAGGAAGGATGAATTTCATGTTAAATCTAGTGCTGAGAGCCCTAATTTAGTTAATAACTTGAACTGATAAAATATTTATCAAAACAAGACACTGCATCTATTTTTTTCTTAATGGCCACCTGTATGGAAATGCTAATTCTGTGGGTTAGGATACCATGGGCCACTGGGTAATAGGAAACTAGTAGCAAATACTCTTTCCTTACTTAGTTTTCCAAGATCATCCTGAAATGCTTTACGTTAAAGTTAATCAGTGGGGGGAGAAAAGCCATTTCAGTGTGAACCAAACATAAAAATGCTGCCTTTCATATTTTCGCCTACTAGTTTTGAAGTGTTTCAAATTATTCAGGAATACACTCGATAGTTTTAATATCTCATATGTGTTTCTAGGTCTAAGAACAGCAGATGTTTTAATATAATTAATACTGAGACATTTAATTTCTAATAGAAATCAAATAAATACCTTTGAAAGAAAAAAAACATTTGCCAAATTCTCCTTCTGCTATGTGTCAGATTCTAACTTTCTGAAAGGAAAATTACAAACTGAACTTTCCTGGTAAGATATAAGAAACGGTTTGACTTTTTAAAATGTTTTTCCTCAGTACCACTGTTGATAAATTCTAGATTCCTCAATTGTGATAAAGACAAAATAAAATTTTGTCTGAAACACTGAAATGTTTAATTAGTGATGACAAAACTGACCTTTCATTCCTTTCAAAGGCACTTTGTAAATGTTTACCTAGAAAATATTTTTATAATTATCAAAAATGATAGCCTACTATCTCTATAATTTATTTTTTTAAAAGCATGTAAATGACCCATAGCAAGCTAATAATATATATTGATGTGTAAAACTCACAGGTTTATACTAATACATGCCATAGTAACTTACATGAAACTATGGAAGTTTTAAATTGCTAATAACATTTATATTTAACAGTAAAGTAAGTATCCATCCTAAAGATACTCCCAAAACATCTCAAACTGAGATAAAATGGCTTAAAAAGTGCATACCTCTAGATATATAAAGGGACCACTTAAGAAAAACATTCAAATTAAATTATTTATATTAAGTCATTTTATTTACTAGTTACTAAAATTGAAGAATAACAAGGTAAAGCATAGGAGTGAGAAATGCTATATTAGAGAGGAGACCTTAAACAGATTTTTACTCAAGTAATTTTTCAGGCTATAAGTTCCTTGTAATGCATACTAACTCATAAAACAGGAAGAGTAATAGACACCTCTTACATGATGCAAATTAGAAATTGCTTTATTAAAGGCAAACTGTTTTCACCTAAGTACTTTCATTTTCTTAGTCCACCATGATATTATGCACTCAGTTCAGGACTATGAAACATGATTTTAAAATGTCAGAGTAAGGTTTATGCCCCGTTTACTACCGTATAATTAAAAAATACAGTATTTCACAATTCTCTTTATAAAGATGTAAACATTAGGGCTCAGGTCTGTTAATTAAAACATTGTTTTCATTTTAGTTCACCCATGTGAGAAACTTAAGCTACTGAAATGGACTGTAACAGTACTTCTCAATTCAGAAACCTTAAAAATAATTAGTTTTGGACTTAAAAAATTATATTTAAAGCACCATAGGTACAATTTAGACTTTAACCTATAAAACTAACAAACAAAACCAATGAAAATAAGCTGTAAGTTCTAAAAGTCAGCGTTCAAACATATGAAAAAGACTGAAAAAAAGGAACTAAATTACAATGTTAAAGACTATTGGGCTTCTCTGGTGGCGCAGTGGTTGGGAGTCCGCCTGCTGATGCAGGGGACACGGGTTCGTGCCCCGGTCTGGGAACATCCCACATGCCGCGGAGCGGCTGGGCCCGTGAGCCATGGCCGCTGAGCCTGTGCGTCCGGAGCCTGTGCTCCGCAACGGGAGAGGCCACAACAGTGAGAGGCCCGCGTACCGCAAAAAAAAAAAAAAAAAAAAAAAAAAAAAAAAGACTATTATACATGCTTCTGTATATGTTATGAAAGATATATGACCCAACTTTTATTTCTAAAACCCACTATGGGGTTGAAGTCAGTTTTTTAATGAGATTTAACTTTCAATGTCTTCTATTAGAACAGTAATGGGATAATTTTCTATTTTAACTAATATAACCAATAAAGTTTTGCTACTTTAGTGATGACTACCTGAAAAATACTTTTTTTGAGATAGAACTTAATTACTCACTTATGCCTATCAAATAATGGCCACTGGATAAATTTACCCTTCATATTATCAGTCTTTAGCCTTTTGGTTATTCTGATTATAAGAAGACATTCTGTCAGGAAATTTTTGGTTTTTATGCATCTACTTCTATTCAGATAATTTATTTCTTGGAAGAGCAGTACTCTAGAACTGCACTGTCCAGTAGAAATATAATGTGAGCTACAGGTAATTTAAAATATCTAGTAGTTGGGAGGGAGGCTCAAGAGGGAGGGGATATGGGGACATATGCATGCATATGGCTGATTCACTGTGGTGTACAACAGAAACTAACACAGTATTGTGAAGCAATTATACTCCAATAAAAATCTATTAAAAAAATAAAGAAAAAATAAAATACTTAGGAGTCACATTAAGAAAAGGAAAAACAGGTGAAATTAATTTTAATAATAATTTATTTAACCCAATTTATCCAAAATATCATTTCAGCATGTAATCAATATAAAAAATTATATTTTTAATTCTTTTTTTTTTTGGACTAAGTCTTGAAATCTGGTGTGTATTTTACACTTATAGCACATCTCAATTCACACCAGCCGCATTTCAAGTGCTCAATTGCCACATGTGGCTACTGGCTACTGTTGGGACTGTGCAACTCTAGAGTACTTAAAATTATAAAGTAATACTCAAAACTAATTTTTATTAAGAATTTGAGGTTAAAGTTACATCTACACTTAGGAAGGTTTTCATAAAACTAAAAAGCCTGACGATCATAAAGATGTAACTTAACATTTATGAGACTAGGTGCAAAACATTATTTTAAATTTTCAGCTGGCTTTATTTTACTACATGCTTCCTTTTTGCATCAATAGAAAATGAAACTTCAACCCAGTCCAACCAAAACAATAAACAAGTACTTATTATAATAAGATCTTATTGTAAGTTTATTTATCATTATTTGATATTGCATACAATGTGGAAGTTCTATTTCTGAATATAAAATTCTGTGTAAAGAAAAATGCTTTCCCTCCCAAAAGAATTTTTTTGACATTTTTTAAACTAGAAGACACAGCAAACTAAAAAGCAGAAAATGAATTAATGAAAACATATGAACAAAGAACATAAGTCTTCTTAAATGTCAGGTTAACCCCACAGTAATAACAGATCAGGAGTAACTCAAAGAATTCACTAATGAACACGACTGCAATTAAATCCTCAAATAGGCGCCAATTTGAATTATAACATCTGCTTTTTCTAAACATGTCTGGAATGTATGTTTAACATTTTGTTCTTCTAGCTATTTTCCAAACTCTAAAAATTTGGAAAACATCAATCTCCAAATCAACAAAAACAGCAATATTGAAAGATGGTCTTTGACAGGATGTAATGGCCTCGATTTCTTCAAGAACTGAATGTGGAAGTAAACAACATAAGAAAGAGATGTTATGTTAGAACAGTGGTGCAGCTTTTTAGACAGGTAAAAGAATCCATGAAGTCTTCTTAATGTTTCGAGAAGCCACAACTAAATTTTTATGTTTAACTATAAACAGGCTGCACAAAGTTAACTAAAATACTTCTTTCTTTGCTTTTGGGTATAATTATATCAATTTAGTGTAGCAACATTAACTTTCTCAAGTTAATCAAAAGTTCCTATTGGAACTTAAAAGTTTGACTAATACAAAAATAGAAAAAAGATTACTCAAGCACTTTATTTGGGATACAAAGTCATTCTAACACAGGTGGTGGGAGGAAAGTAGGAATTAAAAAGAAGGGGCCTAGCTAAGAGGAGAGTAGGAATTAAAAGGGAACTAGGTAGTTATTTAAAAAAAAAAAGAGGGTGGGAATCATGAAATTAGATCTACTTTATGTCAGTGATTACTTGAGGCTATTTTGATGTCAAGGTTCTATCTGCCGGTATATTAAACTGTTCTGTGATTCCAAGGATGGAAATGACAGCTACCCCCATCTTCTTCCTTCCTGAAAGCTAAGAACAGAGAAAAGTAGAGCTGCTTCTGAGAAACAAAGATGCTTTCTACCATTCTTCTAAGATGGTGGAAGAGCCTCCTTAAGAGGCTTCCCCAAGAAGGAAAAATGAAGGAGGGAAAGAAAACCATAGCAGAATTCCCTGGCTGTTCCAACGCCATTGCTCCGTCACAACCACTGTGCAACCACTCTGGTCCGGCCCTCTCCCTACCAGGAGGTTAAGCCCTCCCAGGGCATTGTTTAGCCAGGGTCCCTATTTACCACTCAGATCGCCTCCACCATTCC